ATTAGTATCCTTTTCACAACTGCTTCTATTTCCCGACGTAATGTGTTCTTTGACCTTCCTCTTTTCCGCTTCCATTCAGAATTCCAAGTTAGCACTTGCCTCGTGATGCAGTTTGGCGATTTCAGTAATATTTTTCCTATCCATTTCCATCGTCTTTTCCTAATTTCCTCTCTAGCTGGAAGCCGGTTTGTTCTCTCCCGCAGAAGGCTGTTGCTGATAGGACATACATTGTGAAAAGCATCAAACAGCATCATGAGGCAAGTACTGATTTGGAATCCTGAATGTAAAGGGAAAAAAGGAAGACACACTCTGTCGAGAATTCAAAGCAGACATCAGAGGGATTGACAGCAACTGGAAGGGATTGCCCAGGACTGAGCTGATTGAAGAGTTCTGGTCATCAACCTATAATCTTCCATGTGAGGTAACAGGTGTAATGAAAATTAACTGCAATACCATTCTATGTGACATAATTTATATAAATCTCCGAATACTTTCACCATTTAAGAAAGTAGATCAGATGAGTTTGCTTTAGTTGGTAAGTCATTTACATACAGCAAAAACGAAAAGGACCGAGGATTGCATTTTGGCGAAATCCAGTTTTTACATGTTATTAGGTTGGAAAAACCTCATTCCCTGAATCGTCTTTGACCATTAAGAAAGATATCAATCAAGTTTATTATTTTATAAAAGATCCGCAAACATTCCCATTTTGATTCTAGGCTCAGGATAGAGACCTTGTTAAAGGTTTGACTTAGATCTATAAAAATTGCGTCAACAGGAATATTTTTATCTTGCACTATAACCGAATTTTCTCTTGCTATGGGCGCATTTGCCAACCATGTAAGGCCTTCCTGTGGTTTTTGTACTAACAGATGATTCGCTTGTACTTGATTACAAATAACAAATATGATACGTTACGTTGTGCTCATCTGATTTTATCTGCCTTAAATTTCACTTTTTCGAGGATTATTGTTAATACATTAGTTGGAAAACGTTTATTTATCATGTGGGAGTTGCGAATACATTCAAATTCTGAAGCTTTCGAAGATTACATGAAAAGATTTAAACTCTGAGTATGACTAGGAAAGATGTTAAGTATGATGAAATACTGGTTGTTTTCCTTACATTCTTCAAGAAGGATGTCTATACCTTACTAAAGGCTTTTCATTTCCAGATAACCCTGTTTTACCCCCCTACGCAGCACTCAAAAACTAATACCAAATCTTGTAAAGCGTACTGGTTTGGAATGCCATGAAGGAGCGGAATTTCATAAAATGATTCGTTAGAACAACTTGGTTATAGAATGTATCCTTGAGTGTCATTTTTGCAATTAAATTCACGCGCAGCAGTTTGATCGACTAATAGCGGGCTTTATAATGCCAAATCTGAAAGGTGAACTTATACAAATGCCGAATCGTTCCTTTCAAGATAATAGGACTCAGTGTACTATGTATGGGGTTGTGTATAAGATACGCCGCCACGATACGAAGAATTCTACTGTTACTTTTTGTACTAACCTGGTGTACACTCAAAGTCATGCAGGCAGGCGTTTATTCAACGAAAGTCCACGTTCTCGTGAAAACATAGATAAAACTTCATTGAGGATTATCAAAGCAATTTACAGAGGTAGGCACAGGTTCGACAAATGTTTGTCCTGTAGTAGATTTCATGTGTCTTTCGTCACGCCGAATGCTTTAAGTGTAGTAAAATGAGACACATCAAGTCAGTTTGTGAAACTACTGTTCATTTCGCCAACAACAGTGTCAGACTTCGTGAGTCGTATCCTATTTGAGTGGTTATAATAATCATATACTATCCTTATTTGAAACTTTGAATAACCTATTTCATATTCCAAAATACTTATTTGTCCAGTGGTTTTTTCGCCATTATATTGTCGACACTGATGGCATCAAACCCATCAGTTCAGCTGGAAAGTTGAAATCAGTTAATCTTCAATCACAAATTGTGAGTCTTTCATCACTGAATGTGGACCACCTAACCTAAGCCCAGAAAATGTGAGAAAACTTCGAGGACAGTTTCCCTCATTGACCATTAGACATGCTCAACAAGTTATTGTTAACTACGTAATCGAAGCGCGATAAAATACGCACACTTCTGAAGCCCCCTCACTTTGATAGGCAAGCAAGAAATGAGTCCATTCCAGTTTCTGTATTTAATTTTAAAACTATCGAGAACATTCTAGATTATGGAGAGTCTATACCTATCACACGGGTGGATAGATACGTGAATGACATAAAAAGAAGAAATGAAGCAGATCACGGGACCTGGATTCCCGTGTAGGACAAGGCGGTTGTAGTATTCGTACAAATGCCACATAAACCTAAGCTAAATCACCCATGAGGCTGAGCCAATTGTATGCTGTATGACGCATCACTTAGATAGTCTTTCGAAAAGAATGACCATCACAGCTTGTTTAATCGCGCATCATTGATAGGTGCATGAAGCAGTAATTCTACCTCACACTTGTGTGATCTGTTCTTGCTAATACGTTTCTTCAGTGATGTCACGTTTATTCCGTACAATTATCAAAGTAGTTACAGTAACTAGATACCACGAAGGAGTAATCCATGTTAAGTACTAAAGACGACGTGTAACTTCGAAATGGACAGAGCTTTTGCTCCACATTTTCCTATGTCGCATACCATAAGATAAAAACAAGTTCTTAAAGCCTTCTGGTTTCGACATCTAACGAGCGCCTCTTGTCTGTCGTAATGAACAATATCTTGACAGGTTTGCGATCACGTAAGTATAAGTTACTATTTCGTTACGCGGTTTCTTCGTTTTCTATATTATTTGCTATGGGATTGTAGACAGTTTGACAGTAGTATCGCTATTTGTTCAGAATTCCGGATTTGAAGTTAATAACTTAAGTTCAGCTAGATGACAGTTATTAACTAAATATTTCTCTTCTGTCTGAAAAATAAAACTAACCATGATATCCTTTCAACAGTTTGGTAATTTTGATTATTTCAGATACATGTTTGGCAGCATTTTTAGGGGCTAAATACTCATATCCGCCCAAGTTGTAGTGATTTAAGAATGGGTATCATAAGGAAAGTAGAACCGATCTATTCAGAAATGCTGAAGGGTTCATGAGACAACTCTTTCCTCAGACAAGATGGTTCGACCAGCATTACTCGTTCCATGAAACTACTGTCTGATGGCTTATTGTTAATCAAGAATCATTTATTCATATACTTTGATGATTTTTTGACCTTGAACTACCATCACCAGTGGATTATATTGAAGATGAAACTAGGGACTGTAGCGTAGCATTCAGAAGAAGTGAAGAGCAGGTTAACCTCAAGTGAATACAAACGTTTACCGTTCATTGGATGAAATCAGGGGATGTGATACAGACACAAAACCAGTTCCGAAGTTTTTTACGAAGCCTTATAAAGTCCGCCTTAAAATAGAAGGTATTTAGGCTTTTGAATATGAAGGACTTAAGTGCGACCTAATAATTTAGTACTGTACTTGAAAACCTCCAGCCACTTTGGTAATTACGTTAGTTCGTCCTCATTTTAAAACTGGCCAAATTCCTGGAAATTAGAGATTCAGAAAAGTAAGCCAGTTTGTAAGCATACAATTAACTTTTGATAATGCAATGAGAAGACGAAGTTTATCAGAATTATATGATATATTAGCGCAATACATTTCGAACAACCTGATCACACATATACTTGTTAAGAGCATTTATATATAAAAATAAAAGGTCAACTAGACAGGTTAAGGGTAAGTCATGACAAAGGAAAAAATATTAAAGTACACAAAACAAATGTGATTACCACTCTGGATAATAAATCAGTATTACCAGGGTAGGTTTAGTGTAAGGACAAATTGTTTTTGAACACATAAAGGGGGTTTTAGTTTCCGTATAGCCAAGGCTTCAATAAACCTTAGTATACGTCCTTGAAGGCTTTTGTATAACACTACAAATGCTGATTTGATCTCGACCTTATGACCCGTCTCAATCAAATGTTTCGCAATGGAGGATGATGTCTGTCTATCCTGTGATCTTATTTGACCATTGGAATCCATTTGTTTTTGCAACCATTTTGGTATGTGTTCTGATAAACTTCGTCTTCTCATTGCATTATCAAAATTTATCAAAGGGACTAACTGTTTTAAAAATACAATTTACTATCTACGAACAATCGAGTTTTAGTGGCCCGGGATCTGACACCAGTTATATCACATATTTGATTGTTATTAAAATATACATGTTGGCTATCCGTGTATGAAAATATCGACTAGTTAATAGCGGAATTAAATAAGCCGAATACGAGAATGGATTTTGAATGTGTATATTTCATACACTTATTGATTTGAAGAGGTAATCAGGGAATGAAGCGTAGAGAAGAGAGCAAAGTGGAATAACGCGCAGTGGAGAGGGCTTGTGAACCGACTTATTTCAACCAAGTGTTGATCAATATTTATAGTCACACAAAGTTATGGTGCACAGATGTGATGTGTCGGATAATATGTGTACACACATACGCTCATATAAAAACAGTCCAGGTTGATAAGTGAATAAATAATAGAGCCAAAATGTGACTCAAGAAAAATGGATAAATTGGCCTTGCCGGAAGTTGGAATAAGTTTAATGGGCTTAACACAGCCGCCGACACTACAAAGTAATAGTACTCCTTAGCGGTTGAAGTGGTCTAAACAACTTCCCAGTGATTCTTAAACAGGAATACTGATATATTCTCGAGAACACAGAACAAAATGTCATAGTACTTTTGTTCCTTCTTGTTTCACATAATCAGGCTCGCGATCGGGTGGATCAACGTTCAACTGATACCAGGTATGAAAGCTCATTAAACGTAAGCTTATCTGCCCAACTGAATCAGCACCAAATATGAAAAAAAGCTATTGAAAAATGGTTCTATAATTGAGACTGAGAGCTACTCATGGATAAATCTTACGTGGGTATCATTTTTACTAAATGTTTTGTTGGATATTGGATTTGTTTAAAATTTCTAGTTAAATAACGACGTAGGACACAAAAGAGTGAACACTTCTAAAATGGCTAAAAAGAGAGGAGAGATTGCACTGCAAGAAGAAATTGTAGACGAAGATAGTTGGAACGCACTTCGTATAAAGCCAGGGCTAATAGGTATCCTGCCAAATGTTTCTTAGTTTTTTTCAGTTGTAGATGTCTATCAAGAATGGTGTGGTCCTTGTTCCGCTGTTGTTGGTCTGTTCAAACGACTCAAAACAGAACTAAACGACGATTTATTGCATTTTGCTGTTGTAAGAGCAGATACTGTCGAAACGTTTGAACTATATCGAGGGAAATGCGAACCATATTTTTTATTTTTTGGAGTGAGTTGCTATATTTCATTTTAACAAAACAGGGTGGATGCCTTGTTGCAGCAGTAAAAGGAGTAAATCCTCCAGAGCTGGAGCAATGTGTCTTGAGCAAGTTGAAGCAGGAACACGACGTTATAAGTGGTGAGGCTGAAAGGGTTGAGGTGGACTAAGAATTGTGTTTTAAATTGTCTCATAGGTCCGCGATCCTATGGTTATCGCTAGGGAGCGGAAAGAGGCGGAGATTAAACAAAAAAGGGAGGAAGAGGAGGGTAAAGAACTTTATTTTTTTAATCTTGCTGAAAAATTTAAATCAAGAGGTTGAACAGGAACTTACCTTAGCAGTACTAAAACCTGACGTTGTTCAGTCTGGAATAGCAGAACAGATTATCAGAGAAGTTAGAAACAAGTTCCAATTTGATTTTGTTTTAGCTCGAAGAAAAAGGTATCCAAATACTTGAGAGCCAAGAACATTTATTCACCACTGAAGAGGCTGAAATTTTCTATGAAAATGTTAAAGATCAGCCTTACTTTCAAGATCTTGTTGAATTTATGACATCTGGTCCAAGCAAAATTATAGTCTGTGCATTGAAAGGCAAGCAAGGTATTATCGAAAAGCTAAGGGGACTGGTTGGACCGTCCATTTTTGAAAAGGATTCAGAGGAAATGAATGAAACGTAAGCGATGGTCGCAATATATTTGATGCTTCCTTTAAATCCTGATTGTTAAAGTTGGACCCCATAATTTAGAAACAAAAGAGATTTATCTTTAACTAATGCAATAAGCGGTAGTATTGCATATAATGTACCTAGTGGCGACTCTTAGATGAGTTTAAATTTTTCTCCAATAGTACGGCTGGACAAGCACGCAAAGGTAGCAAAAATATCGTGGTCTTATGTGAAAGTAATATATTGCAATAAAGGTTATGTTCACGAAACGTTTTAGCGCATCTGTTATTTTATATAAATACCACTATTTTTTAGAGATCATCTCATTCCTAACTTTTTGTTCGAAATTATCGACTTAAATTTAATACCTCTCTGTAAATTTCCTACAGTCTTACAGTTAAAGGGGCTGATTTGTATTTTGTTTTGCAAGCGTGAAATACTTTGATGCATGACTTTTAATTATAAAGGATTTTCCGACAGAAACACTATGGGTAATTTTCTTAGTTATTTTTATGAAGGTCTATAACTGCAGTTAGACAATACGTCTCTTGAAAGATAAATAATAGGTCACGATTTTCAAGCTTTGCTCAGCCTAATCTTTTATCAGGTTTACGTGAATATGTGCCAAAGAACCAACATAACACAGTGTAGGGTAAGGCTTGCCTGTGTAGCACCATATGTTACTTGTGGTGAGAATTTTTGACGAAGTTAATACGTATAATATCTACTTGGTATTTAATACTCAGCGAAAATAATTGTGCATTTTTAAGTAGCACAAATTGAGGTAATATAACAGAAAACTGATTACTTAAGCCTATTTCTCACTTCCATAGTATGTGATAATGCCAAAGAACTGTATATTCAGATTCTTTGATATTCCAATACAGTCCAGGTGCTCACTCACATCATAATAAATTAATCTCCATATTGCAGTGATAGTATCGCCTGTCAAACTTGTGCCTATTCTTAATCTAAAACGAGCTGATAGTTTTGAAATTGCGTATGACCTGTGTTTAGAAAACTAACCTCCACATTATGTTGACCAGACGTGATGCTTGAACGAATCAAATTATCATTATCTATAACATTTAAAATATGCACAGCCTATTTAATAAATTTGCTTCTGATCACCTGGTTATGATGATTTATTTTCAAACTCTGAATAAATGTAAGCTATTACATCCAATAACAGAACTGATTTTAATTCAATATGAAATGACTTAGATTGTCCTGATGTTGATTTTCTGACTGAAACTTGATTGGCAAATGAAGGTTCTGTGCAGAATAACCTGATATTGTTATTGTGATACAAGTTAGTGTAAAATAGATGGTGTTTTAAGCGAATAGTATTGGCTTCCAGTCTCAAAGTAAATGTCAATTCCAAGATGCGGTTACATCTAACTAAAGAGTAACAAACAGGACGAAACATGCATCTTGGATTTCACTGCTAACCACGATCATCTTTTCGATATTAAAGTTGATTTTAATAAAAGGTCAGTTTAGGATTAAAATATTTAATTTGAATATGTATTAAAAAAGCTTGATTCTATTGTATCATCTGGTTAGATAGCTTTTGATCATGATTATTTTGAATTATGTTTTACCTATCCGGTAGTTGGTTTAAGTTGTATTAAGTACGGTTCTTTTTCTGTGAACCGTATCTTAGCATAATGTTCTGTTATTTGGAATTAGATTAATAATTGCCTTAATGAATGACTATCGTTCGGCCAAATTACATTAGAGCGAGAAGTCAATATGATAGCCGAATTAAAGTTCTTAATAAGCAAGATCCCATAACGAAGTCTCTTTTAAGGAATATTCCAGGTGCACTGCAATTATTATGAAGTGTTTGGTCGGAAAATGCTGCTACATTCTTGACACTGATGAATAATGTTTATGTTTTATTTAGAATAAGAGCAAAATATGGTACTGGAATAATCAAGAATGCGATCCATGCATCAAACTCTAAAGAAGAGGCTGCAAGGTATAGTATTCAAATACTTATTATTATATATAGATGGTTGCTCTTAGATTTTAATTTTCTGGTTCTAATTAACGTATAGTTTATTTTTTAAGTACTTATGAACGTAAACTAGATGACAATGAATCTTGAGGCTGGTTTTATGGTGATCTACGCTTTTCTGTGGGCCATTTATTAATTTTGAAATGTGCAAATTCTCATGATAGGTTTTTTGTCTGACTCAACTCAGATTTTGTAAGCAGTTTAGAAGAAATTATCAACTAATTAATAAAAATCAGGTAAAAGTAAGTTTGGAAAATATAAACCGCATTTAATTCGACATAAACTTGGGAACGAATAGAAAGTATAAAATATCACTTCGCAGTTATTGAATAGGTGATTATCTAAGCAAAAACGATTTATTGATTTCGTCAAATTGGTATATATTTTCATTAGGTCTAGTTAGCAGTTTAAAGTTATTTTACTGGCAATTTAACAACACCTTATGAAAGTTTAATAAATTTCAGTAAGAATATTTTATTATTCATTTATGTTAACTTGGAGTGTCTAGTACTGTGTTAAGCCGATATGGGCTGTTCTAGCTTACAGATAGACCGATTTATCCATCTTGTGTCACACTTAGACATTGCAATTATTCGCTTACTGATCTTGATAATTTCTGTATAAGCGCGCATGTGAGTTGCTTATCCTATTCATCACATGTCTTTAGTTTATGTATGGTCATAAATTTTGCGCCATGCTTGATCAAAACGAGTTGGCACACTTGCCTTCTGCTATCTGCTTTACCTCTTCATTTCTCTGATTGTCGGTTTGGATTAATGAGTGTATGAAATATATGTATCCAGTAATTATTCTCGTATTTTTCCTATTTATTCCGTTATTAACTAACGCAAATTAAGTTGATAATTACATACGAGGTTAGCCGGAATGTATATTTTGCTAACACCATCGTCGGAATTGCGTTTAAATCAGTGAGCCACCTTCCCAATGCAATTAAAATGATGATGATGAGTTCGTTGCAGTAATTTCCAGACTGTCTTACAGAAGTTACGTTGTAAGACACGTTAGTTAGTTAGTTGAATAGTGACTTCTGAAAAGTGCAAACCACGAATGCAAATATATATGGTTTCTCTGAATAGTTAACGCTTAATAAAAAGAAATGCTTTTGTCAAAAGGTATAAATTTATTGTCGTCTATTTGCAAATTATGGAGTCAGTTTAGAATACGATTTAAGAATTGCTTAAGATTACCTCAAAAATTGATGAGAAACTTTAATTTGCTAGGACAGGCTCTAGGTTAAATTGGAAAAAAGTAAGAGTATTTTATGTAAGATCGTAAACCAATCAATGTAAGACCACCATTGAAGACATGGAAGCACTGGACAACCATTTTGTCCTAGCATGGGACCCCTGAGCAATGCACATCCAAGATCCCGGACTCGAATATGGAAGATGGTTGCACAATATCGTGGATTGATTGTAGTTAGACATTAAAACCATTGGACGTCCCCTCAGTGGTCCAGAAATTAGACGTTCGCAAGAGATCGAAGGTCCAGGGTTCGGGGTCGTGTATGCGCACTGATCAGGAGTCCCTTACTAAGACAAAAATGGCCGTCCAGTACTTCCAGGTTTTTATTAGCGGTCTGACATTGTTGATTCATGATTTTAATCAAAGCTCAAAAATCTCCACAACCCTTTACCGATAAAAGTATTTCTTTTAGAACTGAGTATTGATTTTATAATTTTGGTTTACAGTAACATTTATGAGGAATAAATTCTGTTGATCCCGTTTGCCATTTTTCTAATCCCTGCCATATGCTCTCTCCGCTTATTAAACTTTTTATTGATTGAACTCTTTGGTTTGTTGATTAGGCTGTCAACTGGATGATTACGGAAATTACATATTTGTGTTAGTCAGTTCGATATAAAGGTGAATGAGTAATTATTGACGAAACTGATAGCTATTTTCTCCTTCTAAAGTTTTCATTCCAAACCATAGGTATTTCAGCCAAGGATTTTAAAATCGGAGTTAAGTTGGGCTTTAAGGATATCTTTGATTCAATATATGATTGCTTAAAATATAAACCAAAGGGTTACTAGTTTCATGCTGCTGACTTCAGTAATTATAAGAATAATCTTATCAATTTATTTTAGCGATTTTATACAAATTAACTTGTACTATGACAACAAATAGGTTGATGTTTATTGCCCATTCCTTAGTTAACAAACTTCAGGCAACATTGTGGTTCACAAAATAGAATAATCAGCTGTTCTGTAAAAAATGTTAATGACTGGAATTTTATTTCCTGATAAAAATATTGTCTCATTCCCTCTACATACCGTTCCTGTGGTACTCAACATAAAGTGTGCATTTCCAGTTTCAGATGGTAAAATATCAATTTGTATTAGGTTTTACTTTCTCATTTGGTAAATGAGAAAACTACCATATGTCACTAGTGACATTAAAACGATCAGTGTTATGTGATGGTGAAGGTAAAATATGATTGGTCATTGAGCATGGATAAATAGATACAGTCTACTGACCATTAAATATGTGATTTCACCTCATGGAATTGGTTTCGATTCTGGACTCGTTGAGAATTACTGCATGTGTAGCAACCCCATTCTATTAATGTATTATTTGTCTACCCAACTGTGTTAATTTCCATATGAGTATGATTGAGCGTGTGTCTGCACTTCAATCCCTATTCTATTCCCCATTGGTTGTGACACATAGATAATCAATAATTTATCTACACTTGATTGATACTCAAAAATATATATGAATCTTTTAACACAGACACGCACTTTGATTTTTGACTCACTCGGTGCTTGCTTGCTGTATGCTTGCGGACTTTACCAAGCTTTCACAATAAACTATCTCTATAACTGATTTTTGGGCTTTTTAATGATCTCGAGTAAAATCGATAATTCTACTAGGAGATTAAGCCTGTATTAAATACTCGGTTAATGAGATATCTTTATTTGGAGTCGAATATAGAGGAAATTTATTTTAACAAACTCGGTTAACCTCTACAAATTGGTGAGCCCGACGTGATCGTGTGTAACAAAGTATTGTCTAATCTGTGCTCTGATTATCTATTCTGGGTCTTGTATTCTGGTTCTGACATAATATGACTAGTCTTATTATCGCGTTAACGTATTATCGTAGTATTCCTTGAGTGAGAGAGGAATATAAGAAACATTCATTATGTCATAGAGAGTATTAACTCTTTCAAGAATTAATCATGTGAATCCTGAAGTTATTCAAATAATGTGCTCAATATAAGTTTATGCATTAGTCCACTAATCCAAAAATGTAAAGCTTTTGATGGGTGAGAGATTACAATTAGAAATCTTTTTATGTGTTTATGAACAACCTACATCTGGTTGCTTATATTTATACTTTCCCACGTACGACATTATATAGCTTATATCCAATAGTCTAATATATTTTGTAGTTACATTTTAATTTGTTGGAACAAATTATAACAATTTTAAGCGTTTGAAACACTATTTGGGTTAGTTTATCGTTTGCCGATCAAATTTGATGTATTCAGTGTCTAGTCATAATCTAAAATGTCGTATCAGTTTTACCTCATATCTATAAAAAATAATAACATTATTATTTAAGTTTATCCTTATTTAGTTATTTAAGTTAAAAATATGTACTTTCATCTTTGTTTCTTTACATATTTGGCAAAACAATCGCTTAAAACAAACAGAGAACTAGCGTTTTTCTATCCAGGTTATGAGCCACCAGTTATTACAGTGAAACGTACCCAATCAATTGGTAAGGGATATGAAGAAACAGCTTATGGTACTGGAAAACATGGAATCGAACGAACAGTTGCAGTATTACGGCCACAAGCTTATGAATTATATAAAGATGAAATAGTAAAACAAATTAAAAATGCTGGATTTACCATAGCACTGGAGAAAGTTATACAGCTGACTAAAGAACAAGTAGAAGAATATTATAAGGAGCATATGGGACAACCATATTTTGGGGAATTAACTACTGTAATGTCCAGTGGTCCATGTTTAGCTTTATTATTAGCTAGAGAAGTAAGATTATTATTTTAAAAATAGTCAAATGAACTCAGTCATGAGAATTTTCCTCATGCTTACAAAAGCTAATCATACAATTGTTATTAGGAATAAAACGGTGTTTGAAGTTAACATTAAATAAAAGACTAGTGTAAACTTATACTTGTCTAGATTATCTGACTATTCACTCAAGTAAAATCTTGTGAGCAGACAACAAATAGATACAAGAAACACTTTAAAAATTTACTCCACGGATAATTCTAGAATCACAGAGTAACCTAACCCACTTGTCAAGCAGCTGGAGTCTGTCTGGAGGTTATGAAATAAGTAAATAATGAGGTTCTAGAGAATTCTTGTTTTGTTTCTATTTAATGTTATATCAATACCTTAGATTGCCAACTGGTAAGAAAGGAGTTTCTGTACTTTATTGATTTATTCTGCTAGATAATCTGAATAATCTTAGTGAATAGTTCATTTTGTTGTTGAACTACACAATATATATCAGTTAACCATTTTAAATTTATTAAAAAAAGTTTTAAAAAGTTATATTTTTATTAACCGATAACGTTTTGCAGTCAAAAGCCAAATTTTATCCTCTAATATCTCCATAACTTAGTAACCAATAGTATTTTTCTGATTTGTTTTCGTTATTTAATGAACTCTGTTTGGTTATTATTGTAACAGTTCAATCAGTGAAATAAGATTTTATTGTCTTATTACCATGTAATAAATGTAATCAAGGCTTAAGATGTATAATAAGCATTTCTGGAAGTTATTAAAAACACTGGATTACATATTGGTAAAGATAAGTTGTTATCATGGGAATACAGGTTAAGTTACATTTGAATGTGAATCAGTCGACTAAAATTACTCCTAACCTATCAATAATAATCTTTAAGAAGCAATTTTAAGATTTTAAAACTAATTTGGACTGTATTCCTCTGGTCTTTATTTAATTAAATTTATCTATTTGTAATGTTAAGTAAAAATTTCATGAAGAATAGGCTAATTACAGATGAATTTTTAATGCAGATGTTATTCCAGATTTACTTGAGTATTAAAATAAACTACATTATAGTAAGACTTTAGTTCAACTCATTATTGATGTTAACTCTTTTATCTATGGTGATAAATTGGAAAGCATAGACCATTCTATTTTTTTTTTGGTTTATTAACTTATATAAACATTATTATGCTTCTATTTTTCTTATTTTGAATTAATGATTTTCATATCAACTTAGTAGATTTCAAATTTCATTTATAAATAGGATGCTGTCGCTAAATGGAGAGAAATGTTAGGGCCAGCAAGTGTTAATGAAGCCAAATCTACAGCTCCTGGATCATTACGTGCTCAGTTTACCATGAAATCGTCGACTAAAGTGACCAGTGGGAAAGATGAAGGAATCAACCTTATACATGGATCAGCTAACGATTATGAAGTGCAGAAAGATATTAATGTATTTTTCCCGCTCGAAGAGACAATTGCAGTGATTAAACCAGATGCATATGCTAATCGAGATGAAATTATTGAAAGGATTGAATCAGCTGGTTTTCACGTGGCAGCACGTAAAGAAACGACTCTTACCAAGGATATAGCTCGAAAATTATATGAAAACTGCTCTGGTCAACCATTTTACAATGATCTAGTTAATCATATGGTCAGGTGTGTCATATTATTTATCAAAGAAGTACATTTCATTGTGAAACTTGGAAATAATGTTTGAATTTGTCAAAACCTTAGTACGATAACAGTCGTTAGTGGTTAAAATTGAAATGCGGTTTACGGTTTTTTACCTTCTTTTAAATTTGACGAAACAGCTGTCCACCTCTTCCCAGTTGTTAACGGTATATATATATATATATATATATATATATATATATTGGTTAGAAGAAAAATGAAATAAAACCCCTTGATTGACATACAGAATTGGCAGATGGACGTAATAATAATATACTTAAAACTAGGCACTACTTTTTTATACATTTTGACCCAACTGTTTTATATTCGTTTTCAGTTGTTTCCTAAAAGCAATTGAGGATCACCAGAGAGTCAGTTTAAATCATGAATCAAATGAAATAAGTGGTTCTCGTGGCATATTATTTACTACCTTACACAGTACTTCACCATGATTGGATAAAACCGTATGTCCGACATACACTTTCTATATCCCGTAATAGTATCTGTATAAAACCACTAGTAAGTAATTTCACGTGAAGTCAGAACTCTTTTCGGAGGAGGTAAGGGAAGACTCAATCTAGTATTCGTTGAAGAACTTTAGGGATGTATTTTGAAGAATATATCATTGATAAGATGGTATGTATGGGGGACCAAGTCCTCTTTTAAGTTTTTAGGACACAGTTGTCCCTCATACCTTAATTATCTGTAATGCCAATACTAGAACAATTTATACATAACTTATTATAAATCCTTCCTTCTTTCTACCATCATCAAATTTCCTTTGTCTCTTTGTTCTTACGTAACCATGATCTTAACCAATATTAGCATTAAAATTCTCATCAAAATTTTATCAGTTCTTTTATTAAGTATCACGGACCTTATCAGTTCTTTAGTCGTATATCACAATTCATTTATTTACTAATTTATACCTTCAAATATTATGATTTCCCTATCAACTTTTTAATTGCTTCGTTTATCACTCGTCATTATTTTTACATGTAACGGTTTTATCCAACACCGTGCCACTTGGTCGGCATTGATTTTATCATTACTACTAAACATGCATATTGGTGTAGAGCTAGGATGCAATTAAAAAGAAATATTTCTTTGGTCTGTGCATCTTTTTCTAAAAGAAATAGACTAGTGCAGTGAACAAAAACACCAGTGGAGGTAATCGAATGTATTTGACGCAAAATTACAGAGCATCTCAATAAAATCTGAGAACCATATAGTAAATCGTTAATTTGTAAATGTCAATCCATCATATCAGACTTGACTGTTCCTGTTGCAAAACATCAATCCATTGTCTCAGATTTCATTATTCATGCGTTTTCATACCAATTGCGTTTCGTTCCCGTTCTTTCCTCATTGACCTTCAACTGAAAAACATTCTATGCCTGACCACCGTTATATACTACTTGTGTGGATATAAGTAACTCACACGACACTATGCTTTCAAATTAATTCAATTTAACATATTCACTATTGGTGATAAATTAATTTACTTGTCCAGATGATCCGCCTAATACGATATCAAGAAAGCATTTTGACCCTTCTTAAGTAACTATCTCTTACTGAATGATGAAAAAGTTACCTGTGATGTCAGATGAGCTTTAACTCAGTAACCCGGAAATAAGCTCCTTAACCATTACAATATCAATGATAATAGTCTACTCCATTTATTTTGGTTCAATAAATCAAACGATGTAGTCAGGTCTGAAGGAATACATATTAAGTACAACCAAGTCAGTAAATCTACATAGGTTACCTAAGTTATTAGTAAAACTATCTAGGATGCTCATAACCTGACAATCTAGTGCTTCGCATGCCTACACACTGGCGGTACTAGCTAATGTAAATATCAGTTACAAAAAAGTAGAAAACAACTGTTATTTTTGCCTATTTATACCTGTAGGTTAATACATCAACTTTTTTCTGGGAAAAGTTGGATGATATTGAAGTATGTCACATAGAACTTGATTAATACGTAAGATAAAACCAAAGACCAAGCTTAGAATTTAAGAGTCTTCATTCATTAGATTAAGCTGTTCTAAAAATAACGACAGGGGACTATGGTAGTCTTAAAGTACTGGTCAACTAACTAACGTTGCTAAATTTACGTAAAGACTTTTTAAAGGAGTTTATTAACTTGTTTTATTTTATTCTTAGTCACTTTTTTTAACCAGGCTATCTGTTGATTACTTTTAAATACAGTGGTCAAACTTTGTTCATGGTTTTAACGAGAAGTAATGCGATTTCCGGTTGGCGGCAACTGATGGGACCAACAGATCCAAACAAAGCATCTGACGAATCATCAGAAAGGTATCATTATAAAGTTAATTTATTTACGGTGATTGATAGGTATATGATAATATAATCTTAAAACTTCCAGGGACAATTAATAACGGACTCATCCACTTTTCTGTGAATGATCTGAAATTATATAACTCAAAGCATTTGATCACTATTCACGACGATCAGCCAGGATGCTCTAATGTCTGTTTATGACTCAGAGCCAAAGTTAATGATTTTATTATCTGATACAGTAACTTCATTTGGAAAATGCTAGCGTTACTGGATTTCGATACTACATGGACCAGAATCTCACTTTGGTAAACGGATCAATATCGTTTAGAAGTGAACTATCGACTGGTAGATGCATTTTATTATCTATATAATGTAAGGTGAAAGCAAAGCTGTACTTGTACTTAGCATTGATGATCCTTATACCAACAACTGATTCAGTTGTATATCCACTAATAAGAAGTAAGCTAACTTCTCAAATTTAGTTTCGTGAAGCTGAGAGAGATTGAATTTAGTCTAAATAGATCATGAATCACTCAGAAAGTGTATAATAAATTTACTTAATATGAAATATTTTCACGTACAATCTACTTTATTCCTAAAAAGAATAGTTTGCAGTTTTGCATCTGTATTTTTCACTTGATATATGGCTAAATTTTATAGACTTTCCATTCGAATTTCTTAGGTTTGAGAGTAATTTATTTGTCTGCTTTTAACTTCCATGAATGAAAAAATCTATCGTATTTGTTTTTCTAGTATTCGTGCAATTTATGGTAGAGATATTCTTCGTAATGCAGTTCATGGATCATCTAATAAAGATGAAGTTCAACGGATTCAAAATTTATTATTCACCGGCATCGAAGCTAATGAAGAAAACCGTAAGCAAATCATTAGAAATTTATGAAAGTGTGTGATGAGTAGTAGTATTTTTCTAATGTAATTTGCTCGCTAGCAATATCCAAACCTGTTCAAGTCGTACTCTGATAGCGACGAATGGACAGAGATCCGAAGACTATGGACATACGTTAATGTACTGTTATAACCTGAATTAAGCTCGCAGTAATGTACAAACCAACTACCGTTTTACACAAGCTCCACAAATTAATCAATCGTAATTAAGTGTGTTCTAGAACTTACATTTGAGTTTCTATGACGTCCATTATGATCTGATTTTTACAACTGTTTAGGATTCATATAAAAACCTGTAAAACGTGACTCATCCAATTGTAATGGCCACCTTGATGGAGTCGTCCAGTCTATCCATTGTAATGACACTGTCGAGATTTATCAGCTGAGTGAACTGTTTTTTGCTATCATACCGTCCCGAAAGATTTAGAATCAATGGTGATTAGATTGAAATCAATAGATTAAAGCTTAATGGAGAAGTTCTACTGACGACTTCATTGAGATGTGGTGGCACTACAATTTTTCCAGAAGATAACCAGTATTTTGAATTATACTGACTTGTACAGACAAAAAAATGGGTTACGCGCAGTGGGTTTTTATGATAATTAGGAGTATTTGAATTATAGTACTAACTAAGAATCCCAGAAATAACTCAATTGAATCGAGAAGTACTACACAAGCTTTAACGAATGTACTGTATTTGAAATTCGAAATCAAGCATTTAACAAGTACAAAAGAATCATTAGTTCATTCAAACACCACAGTTTTACACATATCTCACAATAATTTGTTAGTTGAGTTTATGGGTCAATTAAAGCTAGACCACCATTGAAAACCCGGAAGCACTGGACGGCCGTTTCGTCCTAGTATGGGACTCCTCAGTAGCGCACACCCACGATCTCGCTTGCGGGATTCGAACCCAGGACCTCCAGTCTCGCCCACGAGCGCTTAACCTCCAGATCACTGAGCCGGCCGGCATCCAACGGTGTTAATGTCTAACTTCAACCAATCCCTCACTAGTTGCTGTGTGGATGTTTTGAACCGATTGTAAGGTTTAATCAGTACAGATAGCTTGTATTTGTAAAGTTTTATCTATGGCTTTCCCAGACTGTTCTCCAAACTATGTATTGCAGCTCTCAAGATTAAAATCCTGTATCAGATCGAATAATGGGTCTCTTTATGCGAGAATTCGAGATTCTGTGCCATGAATTTTTGCATTACCTATATGAGGGATTGAAACTACTTGCATCTATGCCAAAACCTGTATTGTTTATGACTGACGGAATAACTTGGAAGCGTTTTCATATTTCTATGAAACAGGTGAATTAATGAAGTCCACAAAAGCCCATTCGGGAAATAAGCAGAAAAATCGATGATTTATCAATCTCAAAAAGCTACTACCACCAAACTAGCCATACGCCATCCGTTTGTTGACTAGATTATATTATGTAAAATGTTGACGTACCAGCCATCATTGAATGTTTAAACTTTAAAGGTCACACTAATAATTTGATGAGATCAGTTTATAACTCGAATAAGTCTGATCACACAAATGATAATGACTGCTTGTAACTGTCCGTTGACTTCTTAAATATCCATTATTTGGCTACAAAGTTTGAATAATTGGTCTGCTGACTTCCATAGACAGTATTGTTCACTTAAAAAAACATGTCATGCGTACTTTGCCGATACTGTGTATACTCGCTTGCTCACGTCTGTTATCCTTTGTGGAGCATAGGCCTCCAACCAGCCCTGTCCTGGGCTCTTCTTTCTAGATGGCTTCAAGTGTTATTCATTCTTTTGATATTTGTCTCCAATTCCCGGTTCAGTATGTTTTTCGGTTTGCCTCTTTTCCTTTAGCTTTGAAGATTCTAAATTGGGATGTAGTTTGTGATGCGGTTTGATGAAAGTATAAAATTCGAGTCTATAAAATAAATTTAACTATTATGATCATCGATTTATTAGTTACGCTAGTAAAAAGATTCCTTCAAAGGACAAAGCACAATCATTCAGTAAACAAGCCATCAGAAATTCATGCTTATTTGTGCATTGATCTCCAAAAAGTCGAATTTTAGCTATGTTGATGAAATATTATAAAATTATAGTAAATAATTAGATATGCTTCTCATTCCCTAATTATGTAAATTTACTGTTACATATATGATTTATTCAGTTGATGTGTTATTTAGACTCCTGTTATTTTCTTTCTGTCTTTTATTTAGAAACGATATCGTCAAGAAGTAGTAGACGAGGTCAGTAAAGTGACATTTTATGCTAATGGAATATTGAATTTTTGGTGATCTGTCCTAAGATACTTCGAAAAATCTGGTAACATGATTCCTTATGAAATATTTATCGTACATACATCTGAATGCCAAGGTTGGTTGAAAATCACATACGCTGATTTCATCCAACTTTAAACCTAACTTAAAATAGGTGATCAGAGTTCAAGTTCTTGTAGTAGTGTTACTCATCAAAGCGAATAAATCCATAAAAACAGATAGCGAAGTCGATATCAGATGAACAAAGCGATTATCAGGGATTTAGATAATCTCAAGATCAACACTAAACACCGCTACTTACTAAGATCCCTTTATAATCACTCATTTAATTCAGTAGTGAATGCTGAAAATATTCAATATTCTAATTTCTCAAAATTAATCACTGTTATCAAGTAAATCACAAAGGAAACTGAGAAATTAGAAGTTTTATGCGTTAATTAAGGCTTGAGTGAGTTAAAAAACAAAAAACACTTATTTTGTGATATTTCTAAAGTAATTCAAGAGTAAAAATCAGAATAAACCACTATTTTCCATACCCTTCTTTGGAGGATGTTTTTACCACACTATCTGGTATCTATAAAGAAACAAGATTTTAATGGATATTTGTTTAATTTAAAGGTGTTTTCCATTATGAACTTTCACCAGCTGCAAAACTCTGAGTTCATACTTAGTGGTCCGATAGTATCACGCTTGTTTATAGACCGGAATTTGTTTGTTTTAAACCCAGGTAGTGTCATAAAAGTGCACGACTGAAAAGTCCCGAAGGATGATAAAATAACTGTCTATAGCTCCCTGATTTTTAGCGGATCTCTTAATAATATTGATTTATTTTGAAAACTACATACAGTTTGGTATTCAAATGGTATCCAAATCAAACTATGTTTTCGTTAGAAGTGGTAGGTAAAATTTTTATGTTCTTTTGTCATCAATGATGATTGTAGTAGTCTTGTATGAACTTGAAGCACAACAAGTAATAGAGTAGTCACAGTTATTCATGAAATAGTTGATAAGCATACATTGTGAATAGCTTCAACTCTTCGAAGTTTAGATGTGCAGTGAGAACTCGTTTACTTTTTCTTTCCTATCTCAGAAAGCAGTTGATAAGTTTTAAAGGCTTTAAACTCTTTCAGCTGTTATAATTAGTAGTTATTAAAGGCAATAGAAAACGTGTAATTATTGAACATACGTGTTATTGTTTTCGATCCACTCAACTATAGGTCCATTAACACTGTTTACTGTATACACCAAAACGATAGATTACCCAAATAATATTGTCATACATTCCCAAAACTAGTTATCCAACTACCAAGAAGCCTAATTAAGTAGTCTGTAGGATTCTGCACTGCTCGGATTTAAAAACTCATATGATTATAAACATAAAGTAAACGACTGAGTCACCACAAGTAAAAAAAGTAGAATATATAAAAAAGAGGACATTTATGATAATAAACTGAGTTTCAGGTTTATGATTAATTTACTGTAATCCATGAACAGTAAGAGGCCTTGCAATGGTTGATAATTAAAATAAAAGCTTGATATTAGAATGATATTAAAATTTCATAAATACACAGTAAGTATATATAAAATGAGTTCCCAGGGGTTGACTTCTAAAGTTTCGTGGTTTTATCTATTCATTTCGTCTTAGCAATATAAACAAAGAAACTTTAAGCTTCATGTGAAGCAGAGGTTGGTTTATTTCGTCAGTTACTAAAGTCTATCAAAAAGAATAAAAATATAATAAAATCACTCAACATAATCAGTCTGTTATGTCAGTTTATTTCTAAGAAATAAATGATCAAATATTAGATGTATTACTTTCGCAAAAATCACTACGAACATTAAAACTAATGCCAAATGAAAAGCGAAACAAATCTCCTTGCCTTTATTGGGTAGTTATAACCAAATGCCGTATCGTGAAGTAAATATTTTGATACTACATATTACCGTCATAAGCTCAAACATACGTATATCTCTTAGCATAAGATAATTCTTCCCTATTGTATTGATGTACTTACAATTTTATTGGGTTTTTTTTAAGATTCAATAAATGAAGAAATTGATATGGATAAAGGTTAGTTTGACATCAATATCTGAGATAATAATAATAATAACAATAAAATTTATTATAACAGTTTCTTAAACATTATAATAATTAGTAATCGTTAGTTTTATTCTTTATTTTGTAACTTCTGAGAAAGATTATCTTTCTTAATGATGAATTCCATGAGATACATAAAGTTAGTTTCATGATCTTTAGACGATTCGTTTCAATGAAGCTACTTAGAGAAAACATGAAATACAATATTGCGTTGTTTGTTTTAGTTTCAATATTTAGTTTGCTAAACGCTATATCTGATCAGCAATTGATCCCTGAATACCGGAACGGCTAGTATATAGTGTGTAAAACATACTTTTATCTATTATTAGCTAGTAGTGTTTGATAAGAATCTCAAAACACTGACTAATGTACTATGACTGGTATTAATAAGCTGTTCTGTATACTTTCCATTACGTATATCTACAGTCTAGAAAATAATACAATACTTCCATTTATAATGATTATAGTTTGAAAATAATGTTAAATATTAAGGTTCACAAATTGTTAAATCACTCGGTATTTGTATATTAGAATTGGAACAAGTAGGGTTGAAAATAATAAATATATTTTTTGTTATATTCCAATGAATAGAAAAGTTGTATTTCTGACGTTTCGTGACTTAATGTAAGTCACTTCTTCAGAGTAAATAAATAACCATATTTGGTTATCTATTAACTTTCTACCCAATGCCCAATTTATTTGAAACCATCAAGTCCAACCTTAGCACTGTTACTTAAAAGTAAAATTGAACTAATTAATTCCAAATGTTTCATAATGCAAGTGGAAGCAACATTATTACTTCAGAGTTAAATCATTGATTGAGATCATAAATTGAGGTTAAGCATTTGCACGTGAGACCGAAAGTCCTGGGTTCAAATTCCTCATGCGAGATCGTAGATGTCCCATGCTAGGACGAAACGGCTATCCAGTGCTTTCAAGTTTTCACCGGTGGTCTAAAATCAATCAATTCATGATCTCAATCAAAAACTTAACAATCTCCACAATAAGATTGTTTTTTTCACACATTTTGGTCAAATATATGATAGATCATTCTATGTCAAAAAATATAAGTAACATTAGTGCAGAAACTGTACTTAAAACAATTTACAAACATTAAAACTGACATTGTTTAAACAAATTGGGCATCACTAGTTTGCACACTGTTAGATTACTTGATTACTTTCAACTAATACATATATGAATTATAATTGTCATTACGTTCTCATTACAGAGATTCATATTTCTTTGATCTATTTTTATCGTTATATTATTCTCATAGGATTAACAAGCATTTAAATCATTACTATTATTATTTACTTATTTTTTTTAATTTAGCTCACTCATATGCAGTTAAAGAAGAGCAAGGTAGGAACACCTTAGTTTATAACTTATTTATATATTTAATGTACTTTAGATAAGTCACTTATGAAATTACTTCTCGAATACTGGAATGATGTTTTCTCACGTGTATGCACAAAAATATCTTTAGCAATTAGAACTATAAGTTGATCAACATTATATAGTTATAAAGATAACAATTTTGCGTGAAGGATTTTGTGAAGAATTCCTAATTTCTTAACGAGAAGACATGACCTATGAAATAGAGCGTTTAGGATAGGTATTAGGCGTAACACTGGATGATAGGTTGGGGATATCACAAATCGATGATATTAAAAATGTAAATCATTGGATAATAACCCAGTGGTTTAAAAGTAACAGGTTTAACATGAATCCTGAAGGTCTGGTGTCGGATTAATCTTATGTTCTTTGGTGTTCACTATTGGAAATCTCAAACTAAGAAGCTACCATAACCGTCTTTTAAAGTTATGATTAAATTTCTGTCTTTATATCCGTTCTACACGTCTTTGCATTTTACAGCTTTTTAAAACTGACAAATCATCTCGAGCAAGTTGTTGTCCTTATTGATTCTTAGCTGTATTTCAATTGACTTTTAGTTCGTTATTTTAAACAACATCGTTTAATTTATACCCCATTCGAATGTAATACATTTCAGTCAATAATTTTATACTACTTAGATAATAGTGATTTAACTAATTACGTGTTAATCATATACATACACACTGACTAAAGTGAATTAAAATTAAGTAAGGTCGTTAAAAGCAGTTCATTCCAAAAATAAGTTTAAGTAGGAAATTAATCAAAGTTGTATGCAATATTCAAAATTACTTACTTACCTACTTACTTACTTACGCCTGTTACTCTCAACGGTGCACAGGCCGCCGACCAGCATTCTCCAACTCACTCTATCCTGGGACTTCCTTTCCAGTTCTGTCCAATTTTTGTTCATTTTTTTCATGCTTGTCTCCATTTCTCGATGTAATGTGTTATTTGGTCTTCCTCTCCTCCTTCGGCCTTGATGGTTCCATGTGAGGGCTTGCCTTGTGATGCAGTTCGGTGCTTTCCTCAATGTGTGTGTGTCCTATCCGCTTCCAGCGCTTCTGCCTGATTTCTTCCTCCGCTGGAATCTGGTTTATTCTCTCCCACAGTAGTTTGTTGATAATAGTGTCCGGCCAACAGATTCGAAGTATTTTTCGTAGACATCTGTTAATAAACACTTGTATCTTCTGGATGACTGCTTTCGTAGTTCTCCAGGTTTCCACTCCATACAGTAGAACTGTCTTGACATTTGTATTGAAAATTTTGACCTTGGTGTTAGTTGCCAATTGTTTTGAGTTCCAGATGTTCTTCATTTGTAAATATTCTGCTCTTGCTTTGCCGATCCGCTCCTTCACATCTGCGTCGGATCCATGCTAACCAGAAAAATATTTAAAATGAAACCTCACAGTTTAAGTAGTTAAGTATATATAAGTAGTTTTCATCATAATCTACACAAATCTTGTTAAATCTAATTAATAATTCTAAAGTAATCAGTTTAAATGAACACTACGTATTTGATTTTTACTAATGAAGATTTTAAATGGAAACTTATATTTTCTTTAAATATTTGTATACATACATATATGTATATGTATATTTATAAAAGAACCAATACTACAATCTGATCAACGTGTAGTTATGGGTAAGACTCTGTTGTTAATAATTTGTGCACAAGCCAGTGTAGATTTTCATAATTATACACTTTGAAGTTTTCTACATATGTAAATGTAAATGTTTATATGTATATTCTTATTGGTTAGATTTCTATTAGTGTTTGTGTATTTTAGAAAATTATTAAAACTTAATTATTACAATTGACAAACTCAAACAAAGTAAATGTTTTTTTTTTAATTTTAGAAGCTGAATCAGCTAGATCACAAGAACATGAAGAAATAAAAGGTAAAATTTATTTTCAGTTTATGTTTATACTTTTATCAAAATGTTTAGCGTCATTTTAGCGAGTTTGTTTTCTACGGGATGAGGTCGCTAAAACCATGCCCAACCCTTCTCCTTTACTCGGGCTTGGGACCGGCAGTAACACTAGAAGAGCTACAGACGGGAACTTCTTCGATACTATGGAGTTCCTGAGGAGACTGTCATACGACGGACTACAGTGCAAAGTCGTGCATGGAGGACAGATGACAGATGTATTCCAAGTAAGAACCGGAAATATACAAGGCTGCTTACTCTCTCTCTCTCTCTCTTCCTCTTTATTCTGGTGATCGACTGGATTATGAAGACCACAACATCTGAGGGAAAACACAACATACAATGAACAGCTCAGAACCAATTAGACGATTTGGACTTCGCAGATGAGCTAGCCCTCCTATAGCATACACACGAACAAATACAGATAAAGACAACCAGTGTAGCAGCATTCTCTGCATCGGTAGGCCTCAACATACACACGAGGAAAACCAAGGTCCTCAAATACAACACGGAGAACAGCAATCCAATTACACTTTGTGGCGAAACTATGGAAGATGTAGAATCCTTCACATACCTGGGAAGCATCATCGATGAAGAAGGAGGATCAGATGCAGATGTGAAGGCGAGGATTGGCAAAGCAAGGATAGCATTCCTACAATTGAAGAACATATGGAACTCAAAACAACTGTCAGTCAACCAATATCAAAGTGAGAATCTTCAATACGAATGTCAAAACAGTCAATTCTACTATACGGAGCTGAAACTTGAAGAACTACTACAACCATCATCAGGAATGTGCAAGTATTTATCAATGGTTGTCTACGCAAGATACTCAACGTGAATTGGCCGGATACTATCAGCAACAGCGTTCTGTGGGAGAGAACAAACCAGCTTCCGTCTGAAGAGGAAATTAGGAAACGAGGATGGAAATGGATAGGACATTATGATAATTAGGAGTAATTGAATTATAGTAGGAACTAAGAATCCCAGAAATAACGCAATTGAATCAAGAAGTACTACACAAGCACTAAGGAATGTATTGTATTTGAAATTCGAAATCAAGAATTCAACAAGTACATAAGAATCATTAGTTCATTCAAACACCACATCCGCCACAGCTTAAATTGGAGTCTAAGTGTCTGCAATCAATTTTACGTCTTCTTCTTAAGTTCATCCTGTGTCTGTCCAACAGTGTATTGGATAAAGACTCTGTATTATCTAGAATGCACTCATCAGTATTAGAATTAACAACCGAAATCGGAACAGACTCACTTGTTTCCTGGGATTGTGTACAATCATCATGTCGGTTGAGTACTGAAACTACTGCTACCTAGAATTTCAACCATAGACATTCAGACTATCCTCCACCACGAAATAATGTTGGATCTTCATATCCCCAAGTTATGAATAATGTGGCTTCATTTAAAACATCTTTCTCAATTTGACTAGAGTAAACACTGGAAGTGACTTTATTATAAGGATAAACTACAGTTGATATGGAATCATCTTAATTGTAATCAGAATCGAGTTCATTTAATACTCATACTTCGCACTGAACAAGTTTTCCACAAGGAACAAATGCATTATGAGGACAAATAATATTTGATATGACATCAAGATTTGATTCTCCTCAAATAGTTTCCTTAAATTTATTAAGAATGTCATTGTAGAGTAAAGGATCATTAGAAAAATCAGCATCAATTAAAACTACATCAGGTTTTCGATCATGATAAGGTTCATCCGAAATATTTTCCTCAAGAGGAGGCCAAAGAACACAATGCGTCGGGGAATAGGATCAGATATGAAAAGCAGGAATAACAACTGGAAAGAGCTGTAAATGATTGTTCAGGACAGGATTGGATGGAGAATGCTGATGAGCGGTCTATGTTCCTTCACGAGAAGTAACAGGCGTAAGTAAGTGAATACAACGAGTTGATTATTGCTAGATAATTCATAAAAGTTCCAATCACAGAATACGTGCATTGTATACATCAATTCTGAAGGTGCGTCAATAAAGAACCATCCTACTCTTACAAATATTTATATGAATTTTTTTCAACAAACAATCAATATTCACAAGGGAAGTGCAAATGAGAAATGGTTGTTCTGATTCGACTTTCTATAGAATTATAGTTTATTAATCATCACAACTCTCGTAAATATCGGTCTCCATATGTTCTTTATCTTTTTTAATTATTTGTTTGTTAGTCGATGTTAGTTGTTTATCCCTGGAAATTTTCAGTATTTTCACCTATCTAGTACTTGTTACAGCTGTTACCTAAACTATTGCAAAATTTCTTTCATCAAACCAAACACATCTATATAAGCTGAGACTATGGGCCTTGATATCACTGCTAGCTCCATTATCTCAGCTTATAATGCTTGTGGAGGAAGGCTATATCGAGGCGATTCGTACGGAATGAACTATAGCAACTATCTTATAATCAATTTCTATTATGGTTAATTTTCGTTAAGCTCTTACATTAACTTACTTAACAGACAATGATATTTGAATAGTAACGATTCGCATATTTCTTTGTGCCGTTATGATCACCAGATCACATGACGGACTCTGGCTAAAATATTGATTACTTAAGTATCACTCAATGATTCATCCTCCTCCCCATGTATATATATATATATATATATATATATATATATATATATATATATATATATTATTAGTCCTTGCTTTGCTGCGCCCTTGTGCATTTTGACCATAAATTTGCCTATGTAATTGCTCGTATCTACTTATTCGCCTCTCCTCTTCAAATTCGCTCGATATGCTTACAGCTTTGTGATCTGCGCCATACATTATTAAACCGTAGTTGCCGCTTCTCTTTGCATTCTGATTTCAAACACCGTTGAGTTTTATGTAATACGGTTACGAAGGTGATTGGTTAACGAAGCAAAGCCACTACAGCATATATGCCAATAAAAGACTGATCAATTGGAGTCTTAAACATCAATGAGAAGATTCAATCAATCAGTACAAAAATAAATAATGCACGTCTTCACTCTAAAAGATAACTAAGACACATTTTTAATGTCTGTTGACTAGAAAATAACCATCAGAATAAAAAATAACCAATTTAACATTGCCTGTTAAGTATCAACCATCATAATTCCGTTACATATATACATATTGATATAACTTTTTTAATCCTAGGAGTTAGACTAGAGTAAATTGTTGCTAAACCAATAAAAACACACTCAATCTCATAGTTTTGATCTCTTAGATGCCCAGTTACAAAGCAGCTAATCATTTGCAAATAATTATCATTTTCTGTTATTAACTAAATTTGATTAATACATGATTTCATTTTATTGTAGAATCTGATCATTTGATTTGGGGACAACATTTTCTTCACTTGAGTTTTAACTTGTATTGATAAATGAAAAGATAAACAATAATTCGATAATTTAATTTATGATTTTATTGTTTCATGATGAACGATTCACTTTTAAAAATAAAAAAAACTTGATTTTTTTTCTGGCTAATTTATTTAGATGAGGAAAATATGTTAAATACACAAGAAGTAAATAATGAAGAAAACACACAAGTAAGTCCTATACAATCGGAGAAGCAGCAATTTACAAACTCTGATAATAAAACACAACATGAAGAAAATGAATTAAATGAAACCGTAATTGATACAATGCCAATAGGAGAAAGTGTAAAAAAAACTGAAACAAGTAGTTCTAGTTCATCAGGTAAGAAATAAGTAAGCAATAGTTTTTGAATATAACGAATGGTAATGATTTATCTTTATGATGAATTTTATAAAAACTCATAGTTAATCAAGTTATTTAATGTTATGAAATATTGGATGTTAAAAGTAGAGTGGAGTACTAACTGTCGTTATGTGTACATTTGTCATTAATAAAGGCCGAAATCTTTTCATCATTAGACTATACTTCGAACCCAGAGAATTTTGAAATATTATATTTATATTCAATATTATCTTTTAATGAATCGCTCCTACAGAGCTCGTAACTACGTGATGAAGTCATTCTTGTTCAATAAAACTAAAATTTTTCAATAATAATGATTAGGTTAGTAATGAATAACCACACGATATCTTACAGTTATCTTCCATTATCTTCTCGAGTTGATCAAAGTTAGACACGTAAACTATTGGATTCCGATCCAGTAGTCCAGGACTTGAGTGGTCGTTTAGAGGCCTTAAGTTCCTGGATTCGGTCCTCGGCAGAGTAGTGAATGTTCATTGCTAAAGAGTCCCATACTAATACGAAACAGCTATTCAGTGTTTCCTGGTCTCAGTAACACTCAACAATTTCCATAAATTTTTCATACTGATAGTTAGTAGTTATTTATGGGTGGTAAGCAAGAAATTTTATATATGGTCTTTTTGATAATTGACACTAATCAATAATGTGCGCCTGGCGCATCCCTTGAAACTCCAACTCGCGTTACAGACAAAAAGATTACCACTGGGATATTTATGCTACGACTAACCTCCTGCAATACTGAGGTGTTTTCATACTGAGTGGTAACTAATGTTGTCATCATTTGGTCCTCACTATGGTCTCCAGGAATATCGGGTTGCTTATTTAAATAATTATTAATGCACTCACTGCTACCTAATTTTTAGACCCACGAGGCCTAATTATGCGAGGAATAAGAAAAATGTCATCAAATGAATCAGGCAACAAATTAATTCATTGACAGGTCAGACGCATTCAGTTTGACCAAAATAAATTGACATTAACATTATTCAGACGTATTGTGATTTTGATTGTACTATTCTGCATTGTTTCCTTTGTACTATTTATACTTGTGTTAATTTAATTCGGTTATCTACTTACTCCGAAGAAATGGCTTACATTCAATCACAAAATATTGGCAAAAATATGTTTATTATTAATTTTCTGTAGATACATGTATAATCAAATAAATGTCAAAAAGCATAATTTAACGCGATACCATTTGAGAATATATTTACGGAAATGGAATGGGTATCTGTTTATTGGAACATTAGTAGAACAATATAACTCGTATCGAATGGACTATTATTGTACTGATAGATTTCCTTCCTTAAGAGATATCTGTCAGATAAACAAAAAGGGATCATTCATTAGTGAATGCCTATTTTGTCATATTTTGTACAAAACCTAAGTCTCCTTAATTAGAAATAGAAAGTTGTAAATTGAATGGCTGTATTGTTTTTATACTGACCCGAAATCTATAATCCTTGATTTTTTTATACGGTTGAACTAAAGGTTGGGTTCACAAAACTCAGGGTAAGTGAAACTATCGAAAATGTGTACCTTGTGACTACCAGTTATACTTCAACTCATATCATTTTCTATTATAAGGCCTATAAACTATCAGGTTATAAAACACTTAATTATTCTATTCAGCTTAAACACTTGTTTATATCACAACACTCGTTTAAAGTCTTCCATTTGATATACACTTTTATGTTAACATTCCTCCATGAAATATATGTTTTATACTTCAAACTGAATTTTGTAATTTCATCACGAAATGTGAAAATTTTTTCACAAAAGTTTAGTCTCTTTTGATGATGCACCATACATTTGTTACGCATTATGCTTTCCTCTATACTTCTGTTATATATTTCATTATTGTACTGAGATAAACAACACTGACAATTAAGTTCCTTCACTGTTGTACACTTTTTCAAGCACAATTAGTGGGTATGTAAATATGTGATGTTTGTTTTAGCATCAATAATTGAATAAATTAATGATTTGAGATTATTTTACGTGTAAATGGTTTGGTAATCACTTGGTTTACTAAAAAAACATACCCCAAGTCTAAACTATTTGGTAAATTCATCTTAAGTCTAAACCTACCTACTGTTTAACAATAACCTTATCATTTTATTATTTAATTACTGAAGAAAAACTATTCATGGTTTGACAAATAAAAATAGTCTAGTTACAAACAAAAAATCAGTAAAACATTCTACAATTGCATCTTCATATTTACTGACTACTTTGATTTATAATACTCAGTATCTTTTCTGTCAAATTAGTTTGTTAACATTCGGGTCTTCGAATGAACATTGCTTACCTTTTCTACTTCCATTCTATTTAAAAACGAGCTTTTACTTAATTTACAATTGAGTGGAGATTGGATGTAAACCTATTGTTATATTGTTATAGGTCAAGGATAACTAATCAATTATTTAAATGTTCTAAATAGTCCTGAATTTACTCAGTAAATGGATTAAATAAACAGTGAAATGAAAGTTTGCCACCTGTATGACAAATACATTACTTGTTCTTAAAATTGGTATTACAATAATACACTACCAAAATCTAGTTTTGACTAGTTAATAAATACCTAAACTCCGTCTGGTGCTGGTGAGTGGCCTATGTTCTTCCACAAGGGATAACAAGCGTAAGTAAGTAATAATCACTTGAAGTTTATACCAGACTTATCCAGTTACTAATTACTAACTGTTGAATGTATGCATAGTTGTCACAGTTTAAACTGTTAAATTATAAAATGTAATAACTCATAAGTTAGTGATAAAATTTCATATTTGTTAATTAGTTGTTTGTATTAAATCTTATGTTAATTTTATCTTACAGATACATAAATACTGAATCAATGAGAAAGATTCAAATGATTTTGTATACCTTTTTATAAAAGATCAAATGTACTAAAATTCAATTGTTATTTATTATAATAAAGATTATCTTTTAAAAATGATTCTACCTTATATCGATGAATTAATCACAGAGTGCTGTTATTGTTCTAGTGTTTTGCTAAAAGAGAATATTCTTAGTTTCATCGCTTAGCCCATATGTCATATTGTGTCTCACAAGTTTTTACTCTTTGTAAACCACCTAGTTTTGATAGTCAATTTTCAAATACTTGTTGTTCAATAAACTTATCTTTTAAATAACGAGTTACAGTTTGGAATAATTTGTTGATTTTAATTGGGAACAGTCCATTAAATATTTTACAATCAAAGAATTTTATGCAAATAAGTCTGTAGGTTGTTTCTTTTTCTAACATAAACTCAATGTAAATGTGTTCACTACTTACTCAAGTCTCAAACATATTTCTTATTTTGTTAACTTCTATTACTCCTATTGCAGCACAGGCCTCCCACCTTCATGCTCTATCCAACTCAGTCCTACACAATCCTTTCTAGTTGTTTCCAGTTGCTAATGTCTGCTTCGAATTATCGACGCAGTGTGTGCTTTGGTCTTCCTCTTTTCCGTTTACCATCAGGATTCCAAGTTAGCACTTGCCTCATGATGTAGTTTGATGATTTTCACAATGTATGTCCTATCCACTTCCAACGTCTTTCCTTAATTTCCTCTTCATTTGAAAGCTGGTTTGTTCTCTCCCATAGTAGTCTGATACTGATGGTATCCGGTCAACGGACATTCAGTATCTTACATAGACGATTGTTCATAAATACTTGTTCTGTTTTGATGACGGTTGTGGTAGTTCTCAAAGTTTCAGCTTCGTACAGTAGAAATATATTAACGTTCGTAATGAAGATTCTAAATTTAATGTCGATTGACAGAAAGTTGTTTTGAGTTCCGTGTGTTCTTCAACAATGAGAATGTAGACCTTGCTTTGCTAATCTTTGCCTTTTCATCTGTATCAGATCTTCCACGTTTATCGACAATACTTCCCAGTTGCGTTTCAAGTTAACAACCTCATCCAAATCTTCTCCATCAAGTGTGATTAGGTTGGTGTTCCATGTGTTGTATTTTCGAATCTTGCTTTTACCCAAGTGTATGTTGAGGCCCACTGCTGTAATGGCCGCTACTACACTGGTTGTCACTACCTGCATTTGTCGGTGTGTATGGAAGAGAAGAGTTTGGTCATCTGTGAAGTCCTAATCGTCCAGTTGCATCCAAGCTGTCCGTTTTATCCCGCGATTTCCCTCAGATGTGGAGGTCTTCATAATCCAGTCAACTACCAGAAGAAAGAGGAAGGGAGAAAGTAGGCAGCCTTGTCCGACTCCGGTCCTCACTTGGAGTGCATCTATCGGCTGTCCTCCATGCACAACATTGCAGTATAGTCCGTCGTGTGGATTTCGGATGATGGTGACGATCTCCTCAGGTGTACCAAACTGTTGGAACAGACTCCACAATATTCTCCTATCCATGCTGTTAAATGCTTTCTCATAGTCATTGAGGTTGATGTGTAGTGGCGAATTCCATTCAACTGATTGTTCGAAGATTATTCGTAGTGTCGCGATTTGGTCTGTGCATGACCGATCATTACAGAATCCCACCAAGTTGGGCGTCTACTGAATCTTTCATCCGGCTTGATAACACTGTTGAAAACTTTTCCAGGCACCGATAGTAGTGTGATGTCCCTGTAGTTCTCACTTCTTTAGTATCTTGATGAGGTATCCTCCCTTCCAGTCTGTTGGCACTTCATCACTCTTTTGACTATTTCTGAATAGGATGTGGGGCATCTTTGAAGTAATCTTTATGCGTGACTTCAGTGCTTCGATTGTTATTTTGTTTGATAGCCATCTTGATTTCTTCCACCGTTAGTGGAGTGATAGTTATATGAATGTGTATACTGGCTCGGTGTCTGGTGGGTTCATTAGGGTTGATCCATTCAATAGCTCTTCAAAATGTTCTACTAACATGTTCGTCTGTTCTTGAATCTCAGCGACTGGCTTGCCTGATTTGTCCTTGATCGGTCTCTCTAGTTTATTACACTTCCCAGCTAGCTTTTTCTTTGTGTCGCATATTTGTCTCATATTTCCTTCTGTTGCACCTATCTTCTCTGTCGTTGCTAGCCCTTCCATATACTTCTGCTTGTATGGTTTTATGCTCTTCTTCACTTGCTCGTTTGCTTCTGTGTATTCAGCTTGTGCCTTGACTTGCGCTGTTCTTGTTCGACTGTTGTTTATTGCTGTCTTCTTGTTCTTCCTTTCTTGAATCTTGACCAGGGATTTGATAGAGATCCATTCTTTATGATGTTGCTTCTTATGGCCCGGTACCTTGTGGCACGTTGGAGTTAGTGCTTCTTTGATTCCTCTACAGCTCTCCTCGATAGTAGTTTCTTCTACTTTGAGTAGATCCTATAAGGTTTGGAACCTGTTTTTATGAGTTATCTTGAATTTGTTGAGTTTGTTAGTATCTCGTAGGAAGGCTGTATTGAACCTTTTGTAATAACGATTTTTAAATAGCACAGGCTGTAAGCGGCAGACAAGATCCAAACGAAAAAAAATGAAGTCATCCGTTTAATGTTGTTTGCTTTTATCTTCCCATCGATGTTTAGGACTGAAATTGATCATTCTCTTGATGGTATATGTCATCCTTTGCGGATTGCCTCGATATTGCCTTAAGTCGCAAAGATGAATAGTGGCTATCAGTGAAATCTAGGACTCGCGTTTCGTCCCATTTGGATGTACCTTCATCTCAGAGTTAATGTACACTCTGGGACTCGAACCCAGTACTGTTAACTTCAAACGCTATAGCGTTATCCACTTAGCTACTGACTCAAACTCATGCTGATGATAAACATTTGCTCACTAGTGAATAGCTTCGAGATAAATTTCCTGGAGTTCTAGTGAGAAGCCTTGACCAGTGGAGTCCAATCCGTGTCGAGTAGAGACAGTTATCCACCTCAGATAATGGATGAAGGGTTGCACAATATCATAAATGAATTGGTTTTTTAGAACATGAAAGTGTAATTCAAATGAAGTAGTTTTTATGAGTGTTAATGATTTAGGAATATTGAAGACGATTTCATCTCAGAGTTGATGTTCACTCTTGGACTCGAACCCAGTACCATCCGCTTCAAACGCCATCGCGTTATCCACTTAGCTACTGAGTCCCGATAGCCACCTGCTTGTGCAATGGGGTGAAGTTTAATTCACTTGATATTGTTTTACTTGAATCTTCCCATTGATGTTTAGGATTGCAATTGATCAGGCTCTCATATTGACATATATGCATACTGTGCGTATTGCCTCGATATTGCCTTAATTTGCAAGCATTATAAGCATATTCATACCTCATTTTTTTGGAAGAACTAAAGGTCGGTTTCATAAATGTGTTTTTTTTAATAACAGTCATCGTTGACTTCAAAAGATTTAGAGGGAAAATTGATGGCCAGTATTTTTACAAGTATAAATAAACTGTGATAAAGAAATGGAGATCATGACCCATTAAGTAATAAGCTGTCTGAAAAATTCGACGAATCTTTACTTCTGAAGTCTGTGGTTAAAAAGCAGTATACATTGAGTAATCCAGTTGATCTAGTGATGCTAGTGTGATGTTGGTTACTATTGAAAACCTAAACATTCAGATACTTCTCTACTTCCAACCAATACATGGCTATCTCTGTAAATATGCTTACTTGATCACATGAAATAATTTTCATAACAAACTTCTGAACGCAGAATCATCAACAATCTAATAGCCAGTTCCTATCGTGGACCTATATCATCTAGAAAATTATTGAAAACCACTGAGGATTTGTTTCGCACTAATTTATAGCTTCTCAACAACGCGTATTTATAATCCTGTATAAATTGTGCTTGTGGGAATCAACTTCTCCAAATGATCTTAGTCCATCATTAGAACCGTTTTCATAATAAATAAATCCCCGCATCATCAAATTGAATGGTGTTTTTGTGCTTTGTTTTCTTAAAGTAGAATCTGGATTAGTCATAAAGTTAATGCACCGATTTAAATATGCATATGAAATTAGTTATATTGATATTTATTTTATTAAACACCATAACATCCTTAGTTTCTTATTTGTCCGTTTAAACTATAATTAAATGAAATTAGTATTTATAGAGCCCTTTAGATAATGATAGAAAAAGAATAATTTAAATTTCAGTACTAATGTAATCGAGTTTCTGTAATGAAACTTGACTGAAATAAGCATATGGTAAAATAATCCATAACTGGTATTCATCAAAATTAATAATTTACAGTTTTTACCACTGTAGATTCATGAACAAGTTAACGTCAATACTGATCATCTCTTCGTGAATACACTGAATTCATAGTTGTATACTCCTCATTGTTTAAATGTTCTAAGCCAATTTGTGAATATTTCAAAGATAATAATGTACGACATTTTATGCAGATATTTCCAAGATCCAGCTGACATATACTACATCCATGTACATTTCCAGAATATTGAGAAGCATTCTCTATCGGTTTCTGTTTTTTTGATGGATAACTTTCTTTATTGCACCAAAAACATGTAATACGTTTGATACTAAATCCTGCTAAAACATGCTTTATTTTTGGATTATTTGTAAAACAGCAACCATGTTTATCAGTGGTGTCTCCCGATGTATATTTGAAATCATTAAAAAGTTTACGATTATTTCGTATATGAGCGCGTAACCATGAAGCCCGCTGATTTGATCTTTCTGGATAGTACCAAATCATAATTATATGACGCAATCTCATAATATATACCTGGTACATAAAATTAATGTATACAAATTACATAATTCCAGTATGATTATAGTCAATATAATAATAATGGCTTAACATTGTCGCCAGTCGGCTTATTAAAAATTCAGTCTGCTGCGTATATGAGTATCATGATGAAGAACTCTGTCTCGTTCTTCTAAGTTCCACAATAGTGAATAGTTATGTTTTTTTAGGTCTAATTATCATACATGACAAAGTTGAGCTATTTAAAAAACATTTATTTAGAAAATCTGATATATACAATTTAAAAAATCCGTTTGAAAAATTACGACCCAGTACTTGTTTTCAATCTATCCACTACTATCAAAAACTGTTTATTGTTGTCATTTGTTTAGTAGTATATAGTGATAATTCGTTAAGGTGATAGCTGAATGGTGAACTTACTTATCAATTATCATTTAGACCCTTACACTTTGTAAATACGATTGGAATATAGAATATATACGACCTGTTTAAAGCTATGTTCGAATTATCGATCAAATAAGAATAGGGCTGTCCAGCTAGTTTATTCTAGAAAGTAATCTCTACAAGTTTTAGCTATACACAATCTTGCATAAGACTTATAACATAGTAAAACAGAATAATTAATTGTTTTCTTTTTACCTATATTTCTTACTTGCGTGTGCTATCTACAATACGAAAATTCTGTTTAATTCTCAGTGATTTAAGTTTTCTAAACCTGACGATTATTATCTTACTTACCTACGCCTGTTGCCTCCTCGTCGAGGAGTATGAGCAGTAATACTCCTAAAATGAAATTCACTTACACTGAAATTTTTCGGAAACTTTATCTACTCTACAAAAGATCAGTTGTTCAATATATTTGTCAAAACTGATATAAATGAAGAAGAATCATATATAGATTATTATTATTATCAGTATTGGGTTGTGGAGATTATTAAGTTTTTGATTAAGATCATGAACCGATTGATGTTGAACCACCACTGAAAACCTGGAAGCACTGGACGGCCGTTTCGTCCTATTGTGGGACTCCTCAGCAGTACACGTCCACGATCCTGCTCGCATGATCCAAACTCAGAACCTTCGGTCTCGCGCGCCAGACCACTGAGCTGGCTGGCATCTAACAGTGTTAATATCTAACCTTAACCAGTCCACAAAATTGCGCGACCATCTTCGATTGTACTGATCTACATACCTGTCTCTACCTGACATGGATTAGTTTCACTAGTTCACAGACCATATTTTCATTGAGAAATCTTACAATTTAATTATTATGATAAGTTAAGTCGTTACAAAAACATTTACATATTTCAATGTGAATCATACTTACTTCAATTAATTGGCTTATAATCGTTAGAACTAATAATGTTATAACGATTATATTATCATTGAAATCCTGTGAACTTGATATTGGGTGACAAACTGTAACATCATTATTAATTATTGTATCTTTTGAGTGAATTAGTAAATCAAGTATATTTCTTACAATATTTTCATAAAATGTTCCACTAACAATAATTGATTGATATGGAATTTTATTAAATATTTCAGAACTGAAATTTAAATTATCATCATTATGAGAATATCTTGTTCTAGGCTGAATGAAATCATTTGAAATTAAAGAGGTCAAGGAAAGTAAAGAATTGTGTATAATTTGAATAAGTAATATAATTATAATAATTAAAACTATCCATACATTAAACAATGTGTTTGAACATTTCATTTTATTCTTTTCATTGTGACTCCAACTGAAACTAGTTAATAATTTATAATGTTTCGATTCATTATGTGTAAGTGGAAACGTTGAAGGAATTCCTTGTAGAATTGCTTGTTTCTCCTGAATATTCAAAAAAAAACGAAAGCATGTCATTTCATGGATAAATAGTCTTAATCTATATTCGTAAAATTAGCATAAATACATATACATATATGAAAAATTGATTATTGTTTACTGTTTTTTTTCATATATAAAAATAAATAATGTTTGAGTTAATATGATTGATTTTCTTCAGTCACCTATAATCTCTATGTAACAGATTTTATTAGGAAAGAATAAATTTTCTAACATTTAGCTATTCTAAAGCCTGACTGAATATCTTGGACTACCTATAGTTGTACCAATATGTTAAGTATAAAGTAGATTCTCATAGTCTTACAACTTATTGAGTAAATATATTTTCTTTAATGTCTAAAGCTTTAGTAGTTTCCAGTATATCCAATAAAGTGTCTCTATTCGTCTGAAATCTATTTTAAAATATCAGCAGTAAATGAGAATATTATTGAAGCATAAGAAGTGGCAAGATTGAAGAATTACTTCTGACATTCGAAGATTCATCACTGATGGTGAGTGACAAAAGTAACTACAAAACAGAATCATATCGGTGAATAGTGGCACGGTTAGATTATTTCTCTAATATCTATCAAGTCTTAACAACCTTATCTGTATTACACATCACATTCATACCACATACATACATCTTTGTTATATTAATTGATAATCTTTATTTCTTGTTATTAAGTTAATCACCACTTGCGTGTATCAGTTTTTACACATAGATGCTAGAATTTAAAATATTTACTACATAGTTATTGGGGGACAATAACACCAATGTGGAAATGATTCAACCAGTGTAAAGACTGAGTAAGCACATATTACAAAAATCAAATCTCTTAATCTGCTTAGCTGAACGCAGAGTACACACAAAGTAAGTATATCTCTGAAAAAACGAATTCATTTAACTAACCAAACTTCAAAATACCACAGAATAACGAAAGATATCAAGACGATGAATATGAACTAACTAGGATTAAATAAATGTAGACTAAAAAGATTAAAGATGGGACATATCTGAACCAATGTAATCTATTTTATGCTATGTCATCTAAAGTCCATCATCACTAGTTTTTATCAACTGGGCACCTACAAAAACTTGTATCTATATTACTACAAAAGGACATAATTAATAACTACTACACATATTAGAATCCGGTTGTCATCTGTTTACTCTTGATTTTCCTCTCACTGCTTCGTCTTAAAACCCGCTGATTAATACCACGTGCCCAGTCACCAATCAGAATCATAATTATAATTTGGTCTGTTATTTACTTTATAGCTTAGTGTTTCTGACTTGGACAATTACAAGTCCGGTCTGGGTTATTTACTTTGTGTCAATGACTACGATCTTTCTAGTTCACTATTCTCTGGCTCCTCTCTATATCTAGTCTTGAGTTCAGAAGTAGCAACCAGCCTTTATGATATTTATATTTTAAACAGACATGGTTTATATACAGACATACTAGACAGCATCATACCGTAAAATGAAATATAACAATATTTCATGAACAAGCCGAAAGTGTCTAAGAACAGGGTAAACTGAGTAATCAACAATAAATTAGAAAAAGTATTGTTGGGATGGCCACCGAGAAGCCACCCACGTACATAGTCGATTGACCAAGTTATCGATTAACTTATCGATCAGATGTTAAGTATTTGAATAGCAGTCAATTGATTAACTTATTGATGAATGTTTAAGAATTTTTAAATGACAATATTGATTATATATATAATTTTGTATAAATACGCATGTTTGATTGTATATTTTGATTCTTGTCAATAAGTGCTCACAAACGTCTTTCATCTTCTTACTTGCGAGCGGTTGGAGGTTATAACGTTCGAGTTTCATCCGTTATAGAGTCTTTTCGTGCGTATTCGAGTAGAGAACTTAACAGTGGCGACGGGTTTTACAATCAACAATGCCAATTACCTTTAAACAAATAGAATCTTTGCTGGAACGTCAAGAAAAACGATATGAACAGTTCCAGGAGCGTATGCTGGAGATGTTAGCGAAACAAATGAATCTGAATAACAGAGATTTTACTGATGATTCATGTAATACGCATACAGACTCGATGATTAATTTCATTTAGGAATTTCATTTTGATGGCCTAGCTGGTGTGACTTTCGAGTCTTGGTTCAAGAAGTATGAAGATTTGTTCAAGGTAGACCTCAACAAACTGGATGACGCTGCCAAGGTCAGAATACTCTTGAGAAAGCTTGGCACGATTGAACATGAACGTTATAGTAATTTCATCCTCCCAAAGAATCCAAGAGATTTCTATTTTGATGCAACAATCGAAACTCTGACGCAAATCTTCGCTGAACAATCATCTCTCTTTAATATTCGTTATCAATGCCTCAAAATAACGAAGTCAAGTGAGGATGATTGGGTAAAACATGCCGGCCTAATAAACCGTGAATGTGAACGATTCAAACTATCATCAATGACGGAAGACCAGTTTAAATGCCTCGTATTTGTGTGTAGCCTACAATCTCCCGAAGATGCTGATATAAGAACCAGAATCTTAAGCAAAATTGATCAGTGCCAAAACATCTCACTACAAGAAATAACTGCAGAGTGTCAGAGGTTAGTAAATTTGAAACATGATACCTCCATGGTCGAGAACAATAGCCGGCCGTCATACGTGCATGCTGTTAGTGAAAAGAAAGACTCCGGCTCACAAAAACCATACAGCACAGACAACCAGCCCTCATTTCCTTGCTGGTCATATGGAGGTTGGCATTACGAGAAGTTTTGTTCATACAAAGAATATTTCTGCACTAAATGTTACAAAAAGGGTCACAAAGAAACCAGATGTAGAAATAAAACTCGCAGACGTTACTCTTCACAAGCCTATTCCAAGAAATACAGATCTGGTAAGAAAACGAACAAAATATTAGTATTTCATAACCAGACAAGAATTCACCGCCGAAGAAAGTACGTGACCGTGTACATGAATGCACACCGTGTCCGTCTTCAACTTGACACAGCATCTGATATCACCCTAATCAGTCCAAAAACTTGGGAGAAAATTGGGAGACCTACAGTTCACCGAACGAAGCAACTAGCGCACAGCGCATCTGGAGGCAAGCTTAATATTGTTGGGGAAATAACGTGCAATGTTTCGAAAAATGAGGCAACAACTAGTGCAACTTTTTTTTTAACCAAGAACCCGGCACTCGATTTATTGGGTTGGATCTAATAGATGTATTAAAATTAGCAGATCATCCTCTCAACAATATCTGCAGCCAAGTCAGAATCAATAACCCTTTAGAGTCAAGTCAGAGAAATGCCGTTATAAAAAGGCATCATCACGTGTTCTCAGAAGGGTTGGGCGAATGCACGAAAGCCAAAGCACTACTGACTCTCAAGTCAACATCTATTCCTGTTTTTCGACCAAAAAGACCTGTACCTTATGCTTCTCTCCCAGTAGTTGAACAGGAACTAGAACGGCTTCAAAAAATGGGTGTCATTGAACCTGTGAGTTTCTCCAATTGGGCTGCACCGATTGTGGTGGTCAAGAAGTCAAACGGCAGTGTCCGTCTATGCGCAGATTACTCTACTGGACTCAATGATGCGCTAGAACCCCACCAGTATCCTTTGCCTATAACTGAGGATCTTTTTGCTAAGCTGAATGGAGGCAAGGTGTTTGCAAAACTGGATTTATCAAAAGCTTACTTGCAGATTCCTGTCGCGGATGAAAGTAAAGATCTGCTTACTATAAACACTCACAAGGGCCTATTCCGATATAATCGGTTACCTTTTGGAGTCATAACGGCCCCCTCCATATTTCAACAGGTGATGGATACTATGCTACATGATCTCCCTGGTGTTGCAGCTTATCTGGATGACATAATAATTATGGGCATTGACAGAATAGACCTAGAAAAGAAGCTCGACCGGGTGCTATCGAGAATAGCTGAATATGGATTCCGGCTTCGTGAAGAAAAATGTGACTTTTGCATGGAGAGAGTACGCTACCTCGGTTTTATCATTGATAAGGACGGGAGAAAACCAGATCCAGAGAACAGTCAAGCTTTGGAAGCAATGCCGAGACCGACAGATGTTCCCACACTTTGATCCTTTTTGTGGCTAGTGAGTCATTATGGAGCTTTTATCCCTGACCTTCATCGTTTACGTGCCCCACTAAATAGTCTTTTAACAAAGAACGCAAAGTGGTGTTGGTCTAAAAGTTGTCAAACTGCTTTTGAGAAGATCAAGCAACTGCTACTCTCGGATCTGTCGTTGACCCACTATGACCCATCCCTACCTATTGTAGTGGCATCAGATGTTTCAAACCACGGCATTGGAGCAAGCATTTCGCATATCATGCCTGATGGGTCTGAAAAAGCTATCTCACACGCTGCCAGATCTTTGACAACGACCGAAAGAAACTATAGTCAAATTGAGAAGGAAGCCCTATCAATTATCTTTGCAGTAAAAAAATTCGACAAGATGTTATATGGTCGAAATTTTACCCTATTAACAGACCATAAGCCACTGCTTGCAGTTTTTGGGTCGAAGAAAGGGATTCCTGTTCATACAGCTAACCGACTCCAACGTTGGACAACCACACTTCTGGGTTACGACTTCAAGATCAAGTATTAGTCAACTACCGCTTTTGGGCAAGCTGACGCGTTGTCAAGGTTAATAGGCTCCCAATCAAAAACCCCAGAGGAAACCGTTGTAGCAAATATAAAAGCCGAGAAGTTCATCGCGTATTGGTCGACGCAATCGATGGACTTCCAGTAACTTTTGAAATTATCAAGAAGATTACTGAAAGTGACAAGACATTGAGCACAGTTAAATGCTATCTTACGACCAAATGGCCAAACAATCGTCTTGATGGAGAACTCTTGCAATATTTTCGTCGACGGGACTCACTAATGATTGTTGACTCGTGTATTATGTTTGGTGATCGAATTGTTATTCCGAAGTTATTACGCCACAAGGTTCTCAAGCAGTTCCACAGTGGCCACCCTGGAATCAATAAAATGAAATCGTTGGCTCGTAGTTATGCTTATTGGCCGTCAATGGACAAAGATATCATGAATAAATGCCGTAACTGTCCATCATGCATTCAAGCTGCTAAAAATCCTTTGAAATGCGAACCCCACTATTGGCCAACGCCTGCAGGACCCTGGGTAAGACTTCATGCAGATTTTGCTGGTCCAATCCATGGAAAAATGTTTCTAATTATCGTAGACGCATTTACTAAGTGGCCAGAAGTATATACCATGCCAAATTGTACAACGTCAGAAACAATCCACAAGTTGTCTACCTTATTTAGCTGCTTCGGAGTTCCAGAGATCGTAGTAACTGATAATGGCTCGTAATTCATTGCAGAATCGTTTAAGTATTTCTGTAGCGCAAATGGAATAACTCATCTTCGTTCTCCGCCCTATCATCCGCAATCGAACGGACAAGCAGAACGCTTTGTGGACACCTTTAAACGAGCACTACTGAAAGGGGGAGGCGAAGGGACAACTGGACAGGTAATCACAAAATTTCTGACAACCTACAGAACCACTCCGAACCCAAATGTTCCAGACGGTAAGTCTCCTGCCGAAGCCATGTTTGGAAGGCGTATTCGAACCGTTTTCAACGCCATGTTGCCATCGAAATTAGTGTACGGGCACAATCAAAATCCAAATATGCGGAACTTTAATGTCGGCGACGAAGTTTTTATTAAATCCTACACCGGAAAGAATCGATGGGAGCCGGGAAAAATTGTACAAAAATTAGGAAAAGTTCTGTACAGAGTCCGAGGAACTTTTGGAACATGTATACGACATACGAATCAAATCCATAAGGACAAAAGAACGATGCAGACTCGAAATAACCGGCCAAATTTCTCGTTAGAGTCAACCTTGGACGTACCAACGATACATATACCCAAGGACACTGAAAGGAAGCCTCGGATAAGGAAGACGACAAGAATAATGAGACACCACCGCAACCCAGTTGTCAAGCTACAAATAAATCCTAGAAAGAAATCTTATTCGGGGGAGGTGTTGGGATGGCCACCGAGAAGCCACCCACGTACATAGTCGATTGACCAAGTTATCGATTAACTTATCGATCAGATGTTAAGTATTTGAATAGCAGTCAATTGATTAACTTATTGATGAATGTTTAAGAATTTTTAAATGACAATATTGATTATATATATAATTTTGTATAAATACGCATGTTTGATTGTATATTTTGATTCTTGTCAATAAGTGCTCACAAACGTCTTTCATCTTCTTACTTGCGAGCGGTTGGAGGTTATAACGTTCGAGTTTCATCCGTTATAGAGTCTTTTCGTGCGTATTCGAGTAGAGAACTTAACAAGTATATTCCTAGTTAACGAGTTAATCGAAACCTTGTGATAAATAGAATATATATACATAGTATTCTAGTTACTAAGTGTTATAATTCTCTCTTTTAACAACCCAGCTATTGTTATTGCTTAGTAATCTTGGTTACCAATTCACTCGACAAGTCCCTAGATCAGAACACGGTTGAACATGAAAGAAATTATATTCCATATAAAAAGGTTAGATGGAAGTAAGTAGAACAATAGGAAAAACGTTATTATATAGTTTTTACATGATAAGATTCTATAGTGTTCTCCAAGTATTGACTAGCACTGATTAGATGAGAATTCGACAATCAACGTGTACCAACGCAATCGTGTATTGAGTATGCCTTAATCCAATCTATGTTCCGCTAACACAAAGTGATTATACAACAAAATTATAATGAGTAATAATTCGAGAAACCGGTTTCAACCTTTACAATATTTGTTCCATTATAACTTTTACCATATGCTAAAACTGAAGCCTTAATACATCCAATCTAATAATAACAAACATCTTACTGAATAATCTTCAACACTATGATGTAGGTATCAATCATAATCACATTTATAAATATTTTCATGAATAAATCAATAATAAAGTGTTTAGTAATTAAAATTAATTTGATTTTTTTAAATTATAAAATATCAAATTACCTGTTGAATATATTCTGAAGTTATATAACTATTCTCAAATGTGATTTGACTCAACCATAAATTTCTAAATACAATTGCTTTAATAAATAATTTTATCATAGTAACTAATGCCCATAAAAATAAAAACCATAAAATAAATAATTTTGTTTCTTCAATATAATTTATAAAACTATTTATTTGCTTTAAATCAATAATTTCATTATCCATTTTATGAATCATTTGTTTAGATTCATTAAAATTCATTATTGTTGTTGTTATATTATCATGTCCAATAGTATTTAATATGTTTTCTATTTTATTATTTAAATTCTTTTTTAATGTAATATTTAAATGATATAATATCATTTGATTATAATTATCACATTCATTAGTAGATATTTGTATTGCATTACATATATTATTTTTATAAAATATTATGTAATCACATGAATTATTAGGGATATCTAATTCATTATTACATAATATATATGCTTTATTAAAAAAATTTCGACATAAATTATACACCTCATCAGTATTTTTACATGAATTATATATAGATTTAATCCATATATTATTATTGTTTATTATTGTAATTAATTTTAACGTAAATAAATGAATATTGAATAATGTGTTACGTATATTATATAACATAGAATTATATTCATTTATTAAATTTTCAATTGAAATCTTTAATACATTTAATAGAAAATCATTTAACTTGTTTAAATTAATTACATTTAAATAAGTAATATAATTAAATAAACATTTTATTATTTCAAAATGATATAAAATATTTAAAATTAATTCAAAAATAATTATATAAGTAGCATACATTAATAATAACCATCTTATATAAGATGTAGTTAAATAAGATAATATCATGAATGTAATACATTGAATATCTAATGAAAAATTAAATATTAAAAATATTATAATATAAATACTGAATAATATTGATATATATAAATTATAATTCAATATATTAATAAATAAATAATAGATAATAATAATCATTATTGTTATAATAATAATTATTGTTAATTTAAATAAATAATTATAAAAGATTTTTAATAAATTATTATTTAATTTAATAAATAAATAATAATAACTATTATTATTCCATTTTTTATATTTTGATAAGATACAAAATTTATTATAAATATTTAAATATAAATCAATTAAATAATAGAATGGTATGCAAAAAATAAATAATTTTTGTAAATTATTTAATTGTTTATATTTATTCCAATTTCGTTGATTAATATAATCAATATTATTTATTGTAGCTAATTCTATTGATGTTGAAGATGGTACAGGAAGATTTATTAATTGATGTTCTTTATTTATAGTCTTATTGAATACATTATTATCACTATTATTGTTATTATCATTATTAGGGCAATATATATTATTATTATATTTATATTCTGATTTATATATAACTGATGTTTTATCAGATTGTAAATTTATCCTATCACATTCAATTTGTTCTTTATTTGTCAAATATAATTTTAATGTAGTCATAATTCATTGAATGTAATTATTTGTTAGTTATAAATAGATTAAGTAAAATATATAAGCAACATTTTTAAAATAATTAGTGTTATTGAAAATCGATTGTTGATTGAATCAATATTGGGTCACATGATCAAGCTGTTATATAATAATCATAATAATAATAATGAGGTATTGTAACCTCTACACTGAAGATTTATTTATATTTTTATAGTAAACGGAATACACCCATTAGGATATTAAATAAGAAATATTAGTTCAGTGAAGAGTTCTCTTTTTTCAGCGAATTCATTTTCAAAGCTGTACAATCGCAAATATATATAGTTCTTTTACAGGATGATAATAATACTAATAATAAACTTCTGTTAGACATTATGATAGTGAGGTAAAATAAACAAAGGTAAGTTTAATTATCGTTTGATTGTTATATATATTAGCGATTGTACAGCTTTGAAATTGAATTCGCGGAAGAAAAATCTTTACTGAACTAATCTTTCTTATTTATTTATTTATTTATACAATACAATAGTATTATAAGCAAAGATGTATAGTGGCTAGCAGTGGAATCCAGGACGCGCGTTTCTTCCTATTTGGGACTCGTCAGCTGGATGTACCTGCATCTCAGAGTTGATGTTCACTCTGGGACTCGAACCCAGTACCGTCCGCTTCAAACGCCACCGCGTTATCCACTTAGGCACTGAGTCCTGATAGCCACTTGCTGAACAATTTCAGTCCTAAGCATCAATGGGAAGATTCAAATAAAACAATATCAAGTGAATTAATACAATAGTATGTTTGAAATGTAAAATTGAAAATAAAATTGTCAAAGATGGTTTCAACTTTAAAGGTTGGAATTTATGAAAATGTTATCATTGTGAAATAAGAAAACTTTGTAATTTTGTACATCAACTTTAAGAAGCACATAATTAGTGTAAAAATAAATTTCAAGAATGAACATAAAATTCTTATTATGATTTGACACTCTAAATCAGTTACAATAAGCATATGCTAATTTAGAGTTTTGGCCAACTAATATGGAATTGAAAAGAGTGATAGCGTAGTGAACAAAAACACCAATGGGAACAATCGAATGTATTTGACAGAAAATTGCAGAACTTGTTAATAAAATCTAACAACCATATTGTAAATGTTCAATTTTCAAAATGTCCATCAATTGTCTCAAATGACTCAGACTTCATTCTTCTTGCATTTTCATACAAATTGCATTCTGTCTTCGTTCTTTACTGTTCGATCTTCTTGTCTCTCTGCTGCCAGACATTCTGTTCACGAATAACATCATATACTACTTATGTCTACATAAGTAGCACACACCACAATAGTGGTTAGAAAGGTTTAGTCCCAAAAACTGAATAATTTGTATACACATTATACGTTTATGAATATATTACTAATCCAAATAATGACATGTGAGTAGGGATCTTCGCAACGTGAATAATTTATTTGCATGAAGAGTAAGATTAGTTTGCGCCACATACCTACCAGTGGCATTCAGTCGTGCGGTCTCTTCGATGTTTGTAACATGTGTCGTACCTGTACTCACCCATTCTATCAATTCTAGATTGATGTTTCACCTAATTTCGAGTTCATTGACACTCTGAAACATTACCCTTGGTAAATCAGATACATAGTATATTTTATTTTTCTGCACAACGAGATTTATTGTTAATCAAAACAGCTGACAGATGAATTCCAAATAAGTACCGTTGCCAGACAAGGCTGCTTACTCTCTCTCTCTCTTCCTCTTTATTCTGATGGTCAACTGGATTATGAAAACCACAACATCTTAGGGAAAACACGGCATACAATGAACAGCTCAGAACCAATTAGACGATTTGGACTTCGCAGATGAGCTAGTCCTCCTATAGCATACACACGAACAAATACAGATAAAGACAACCAGTGTAGCAGCATTCTCTGCATCGGTAGACCTCAACATACACACGGGGAAAACCAAAGTCATCAAATACAACACGGAGAACAGCAATCCAATTACACTTGGTGGCGAAACTCTGGAAGATGTAGAATCCTTCACATACCTGGGAAGCATCATCGATGAAGAAGGAGGATCAGATGCAGATGTGAAGGCGAGGATTGGCAAAGTAAGGACAGCATTCCTACAATTGAAGAACATATGGAACTCAAAACAACTGTCAGTCAACCAATATCAAAGTGAGAATCTTCAATACGAATGTCAAAACAGTCAATTCTACTATACGGAGCTGAAACTTAAAGAACTACTACAACCATCATCAGGAATGTGCAAGTATTTATCAATGGTTGTCTACGCAAGATACTCAAAATGCATTGGCCGTATACCATCAGCAACAGCGTTCTGTGGGAGAGAACAAACCAGCTTCCGTCTGAAGAGGAAATTAGGAAACGAGGATGGAAATGGATAGGACATACATTATGTAAATCATTGAACTGCATCACGAGTCAAGTGCTAACTTGGAGTCCTGAATGGAGGCGAAAAAGGAGGAGGCCAAAGAACACAATGCGTCGGGGAATAGGATCAGATATGAAAAGGAGGAACGACAACTGGAAAGAGCTGTGAAGGATTGTCCAGGACAGGTTTGGATGGAGAATGCTGATGAGCGGTCTATGCTCCTCCACGAGAAGTAACAGGAGTAAACAAGTAAAACCGTTTAGTGTGCTCCGTAAACTCATTAGTCATTTATAATTAATAGGACTGACCATCACTAATAATTAATGAACAACCCAATGATATCAAAATATGCTGTCAACGTCTTTCGTTTATAATATAAAAAGTTTTAGTAAATGACGTGGGACATGACAAATAGTGATTGACGTTACAGCCACACATCTCACTAAAAACTCACTGTACTTTATATAATGTCCTATGGGGCATATAATGTGTATTATGAAGTCATAGCAGATGACAAAATCTTTCTTATTACTCTTAAGTCATTAATTGTTCAAATGATTTGTCTTCATCAGATAATAAAAAGACTAGGAGTGAATAGATTTGTTGAGTTTATTCACTGCAAATATTTAATTGATCAGCGGAGACTTTTTGAACACATAAGAACCCTGAACACCCGTTTCTTTTGATCACATCATCCAGTACGAAATTGAACGCAGGACATACCTGACTCGAATGACACATAATATTGTTGAACAACTCTTTCGTTCTCCAGTTGCTTGTACTTACTATTTCGTTTAATTCTTACTATTGCTCAACTTTCACTTACAATACAAAAACTTTTAATTGGTCTTCCAACCTCTATTAGTACTAATAAATCATGATTGATACTGAGCAAATACATCATACTCTGATAACATATCATTCTGAATATTGCTAGGCTGTTGAAAAATATTTTTCCCGTACGATTAGACTAATCTATTGAATAGATATTTATGAAAACAGTTTATTGATACACTTGAGAAATTCTAGTACTTCAAAGTTTACTTATCAAAGAATCTAGTTTCACTGAAATGAATTTTTAATTAATTCATGAAGTCATTTTCCACATATTTTGGATTTTACTTACACCAGAGAAAAATTATTCATTGATTACAACGTCATTTTATCATAGACTTTTAATAAGCAATGAACACTATGCATATCAGTGTTGGTCAACAAATCATGAGGATTAGTTCAGATTTTCTTGCTTCATGTACACATAGTAAACAAACCCTCTTTGATGATGGTCACCTGAGTTGACTTATTTTGGATGCATTACAATTTACAGATACTTACTTACTTACGCCTGTTACTCCCAATGGAGCATAGGCCGCCGACCAGCATTCTCCAACCCACTCTGTCCTGGGCCTTCTTTTCTAGTTCCATCCAAGTCTTGTTCATTTTTCTCATGTCTACCTCTATTTCTCGGCGTAATGTGTTATTTGGTCTTCCTCTCCTCCTTCGGCCTTGAGGATTCCATGTGAAGGCTTGTCTTGTGACGTAGTTTGGTGCTTTCCTCAATGTGTGTCCTATCCACTTTCAGCGCTTCTTCCTGATTTCTTCCTCCACTGGAATCTGATTTGTTCTCTCCCACAGTAGGTTGTTGCTTATAGTGTCTGGCCAACGGATCTGAAGTATTTGTGTAGACAACTGTTAATAAACACCTGTATCTTCTGGAAGATGGCTTTCGTGGTTTTCCAGGTTTCAGCCCCATACAGTAGAACTGTCTTGACATTTGTATTGAAAATTCTGACTTTGGTGTTAGTTGCCAATTGTTTTGAGTTCCAGATTTTTAACATTTGTAAATATGCTGCTCTTGCTTTGCCGATCCGTGCCTTCACATCTGCATCAGATCCACCGTGTTCATCGATGATGCTGCCCAAATATGTAAAGGTTTGTACATATTCCAAAGCTTCTCCGTCAATTGTGATTGGATTGGTGCATGCTGTGTTGTATCGAAGAATCTTGCTTTTCCCCTTGTGTATATTGAGACTTATTGCTGCTGAGGCTGCTGCTACACTGGTTGTCTTCTCCTGCATTTGTTGTTGTACTTGCGATAGAAGAGCCAGATCATCTGCGAAGTCTAGATCATCCAATTGCATCCTAGGTGTCCACTGTATCCCGTGTTTCCCTTCAGATGTTGACATCTTCATGATCCAGTCGATCACCAGGAGAAAGAGAAAGGGTGAGAGTAAGCAACCTTGCCTGACACCGGTCTTTACTTCGAACGACTTTGTCAACTGTCCTGCATGAACGATTTTGCAGTTTAATCCATCATAGGAATTCCGTATTATATTGACTATCTTTTGAGGCACGCCGTAGTGTTGAAGAAGCTTCCATATGGTTGTTATGTCCACGCTGTCAAATGCTTTTTCGTAGTCAATGAAGTTGATGAAGAGGGATGAATTCCATTCAATTGATTATCCAGTGTATCAACAGTGATCCAATCCTTGTGGTGGTGCTTCTTTTGTCCTAGAACTTCATGACAAGTTGAAGTGATTGCCTCTTTTATCTCTTTCCAGTTGCTCTCCATGGCAGTTCCGTCTCCATTGAGTAGATCATGAAAGGCCTGGAACTTATTTCTGAGAGCTATCTTGAATTTGTTGAGTTTGTCAGTATCCCGAAGAAAAGCCGTATTAAACTTTTGTCCGCCCCGTTGTCCAGTGCTTCTTGGGTTTTGATTTCATCTTGGCGACCAGCAAGTGATGATCTGATGCTATATCAGCTTCTCTCTTGGTTCTCACGTCTTTCATCGTCCTCCTGAAGTTTTTGTTGATGCAGATATGGTCGATTTGGTTCTGCGTAGTGTGATCCGATGAAATACATGTGGTTTTGTGTATGCGTTTATGTTGGAATATAGTGCCGCCTATGACCAGTTTATTGAAGACACACAGGTTTGCAAATCTCTCACCATTTTCGTTCCTTTCTCCCAGTCCGTGTCGTCCCATGATCTCATCATATCCGGTGTTGTCCATTCCAACCTTGGCATTTAAATCTCCCTTCAGAATGGTCAGGTCTTTTGTTGGGCACTTCTAGACGATTGACTGCAGCCTATCGTAGAATTGATCTTTAGCGTGTTCATTGTAGTCGTTAGTGGGCGCGCAGCATTGGATGACGTTCATTGTAATGCCTTCTTTCTTTGTTTTGAAGGAGGCTTTGATAATCCTTGGTCCATGAGATTCCCATCCTATAAGTGCATTTTGTGCTTTTTTGGACAGCATCAATGCTACTCCTTGTGCATGTGGGGCATTTTGTTCTTCATGTCCGGAGTATAACAGCAGCTCCCCTGAAGCTAGTTGTTGTTGTCCAACTTGCGTTCAATGTGTTTCACTGATCCCAAGCACCTCTAGATTGTATCTACTCATTTCTGCAGCAATTTGGAAGACTCTCTCGGTCTTCCACATTGTACGAGCATTCCATGTACCTAAATAAATGGTTGCTCTGGTTGTCAGAAGGGGCATAGGCCTTGTGACTTCCGAAGGAACTCGGCTTTCATTATGAGGCGTCATAATTCTTCTAAACGAAGACCTTCTGACTCCCAGGGCAGAGTTTAAATGGTTTGAATAATTTTTTCTGGTTAGCGTTTTTTTAGCGAGTTAGTTTTCTACGGGATGGGGTCGCCAACCCCATGCCCAACCCTCCTCCTTTATCCGGGCTGCGGACCGGCACTAGCCTCTGGAGGGGCTCCAGGTGGAGTTACAATTTATAGATGTTATCTATTTATTAATGTTTATGTATTGACACACGTGAATATGGACTATCATCATTATTATGACTGCTTAAGACAACACTTGTTCTTCAATACTCAACATGATGTACCATGTAAGTTTTAACAAGGATTTTAGTAACATTTTTCTATAAAATGTATATGTGACATTTATTAATTTTCATTCCTATATATTGGTAGTTTGGAACTTCTCATTGATGTTTAGGACGGATCAATTACAGTCCTAAACATCACTGGGAAGATCCAAACAATCAATGTATAAGGATGAAAATTAAGATTCAGCAAATCGCATAAGTCAATGGCTATCCGGATTCAGTGGCCAAGTGGATAACATGATGGCGTTTGAAGCGAAAGGCATTAAGTTCCAGTCTCGGGGTGGATATCAGCTCCAATGCTGTCAATGTATGAAAGTACAAAGGGGTACCGAATACATGTGCGTCACAGGTCACTTTATTTGTGGGATGTGATAATTCCCAGGTGCCCAGACCGAAACAGATGGTCTTCTTAGGGGGCTACACCCGGAGCCTTAGACCTAAAGGTTCGATCTACAAGGCAGTGGAGCAAAGTCAAGAGATGCAGTCCCATGGTAGCCGGTGCCCAATAATTGGGTCATATGCCATTTGTTCTTTCCGCATCCTAGAGCCTATGTGCGCCATCGGTTTGGAACCAGGGTTTTCCAACTCCCCTATTTGGATCCTGCATATCCACCAACCCGATTAAAGCAACGGGCATTCAGTTGACAAGTCCCAGATAGGATGTAACGCGCGTCCTCGCTTCCACTGCTAGTCACTATTCATCTCTGCTTAGAAGCATTTATTAGTTGTTAATCGGTTAAAATAATTATTATTTTGTTTTTTTACTTAAAAGATAATGTGATTCTGTAGTATATATGTTATATATATAGTCATAAAAATAGGTTTACTACATGGTTTATGCTCTTTATTAACTCTTGCTAACCACTGCAATAGAAATTATTTACAAAGCATAACCATTTAGTCATATTTTTCTTTTTTATATGTACATTTATTCTACTTCGGTTGATTAACCAAACTACTCTGTTGTTCATAGATCATCTGTTTTAGTTACGGTACGATACGGCTGGGAAAAAGAAAATACATATGCTCTTGTGTTTAAGTCTAGGAAGCATTCTTAGAGTTTAAAATTCATCAGTAGCGAATGAGATAGGTTTGGGCCTACAATTTATTGATTGAAACTCAGTTGTTAAAACTACTTAGATGTAACTTTAGGGATGAAGCGTCGATAGTTTAAAGGCAATTCACTTACTGAAATCACAATAGTATCTCAGAGATGAATCAAATTTTTAATATTCTTACAAGACAGAATAGCTTTGTTTGATAATAGAAAACATTTTATTTACGAGTTTACAAAGTTTTTTTAATATTTGACATACATATTGTAACAGATTGTTGTCATATTGTTGAAATAAGTAACTTTTCAAGTATTGAAATTTTGATTATTTGGATCATTTGTAAAAACATTATATGTCTTTTTCTGTAAGTTTACCAGAAGATATTCAAATATGCTTATTAATTTGTAAATAGCGTGCATTGATATTCTCTTTTTCTTCATCTGTTGAATAATGTTCAAAATCTACTTCAACAGCCATAGAAAACATTGGTGTACGACATAATAAACATATATGATTCAAGGCTATTTGACATGCACGGCAAAAATAAGCACCACATTCTTCACAACGTGTGAAATTCTGTTTAAATTCAACTTTTTTTGATGGGTTCCCGTCACTACCACAAAATGTACAAATAATGCGTTGAACTCCGAATAACTTAAGAAAATATGCTACACGTGGATTACGGCATAAATATCTTCCAAATCGTGACAAATTTTGTGATCGGTGATTTGAGGCGATATCTATTGTTTTAATTTTGTGTATAATACGATTATATAAGCCACGGTTATTTCTTATATGTATACGAAGCCAGGCTGCACGTCTAGCTGCTATCTTTGGATAGTACCATATCATGATGACATGTCGAAAACGCATAATAAACACCTAAGAAAATAATAATAGTAGTTTACTTAAAGTAAAAATCTGTGATGAATGACTATTTCGTGCACAAACTCTGCCTTAGTTATATTATAGATGTCATTACTAAAGACAGTGACAAGTCTGAGAACATGAAATTTACCCTTTAATAACAAACGATATCTTGCGGAACAGAATTCCCTACTAAAATACACCAGTTCTCTCCGCCCACTTTACGACAAAATAAGTAATTACCAGGGATATAAAACTGAGAAACTAGTTATCCGATGCTACATTTTATTTACTCCTGACTTTGTATGTCAATACCATAACTTGACTTGAAAATCTTTAGGATTTCTCAATTTTACAAGCACCGGCTGGAGTATTCATATAATTCGGTAAAAACCTTTACACATCAGGACATGTTGATTTCTGATTTTTATTCGGTCTACTTTAATTAACTTAAGTAAGAATATAGTTACTAGTTTAAGTGAGTTTACATCGCGTATACTGTGTTTTAATGTTAATTTGTTGAAAGCAATCAGCAGGAGATATAAATTCAGACTTAAGAGACTCCAGAAAAAACGTTTATTATAAAATGAAAATTCAAAATTTTATTGTTTATCTAAACGATTTTATGAATACAAACTTCATACAGAAATTAGCTATAAATCACTAACAAACGAACATCTGATATTCCACAACAGAATCGTTACACTTTTTTTGGAAAATACTTGTTTGAACAGGTCTAATATTGCTACTTATTAGTGTAACTATAAAATATAAATCATTTTAATTAAGCTAATGTAAACTATGATTTTTAAATGAATATCTTCAGTTACAGTGTCCCCTTCCCGCCATTACAATAAACTCACCACTGTGTTATTCATAAAGGTTTGTGTAAATAAGTTGAATTAAAATTTACCTACTAAGTTACAGTTGATTGATCACTGGGTGATGATCAAGGTCAGGTCCTTCTTAGTGCAGATCGAATCCTATCGACCAAGTTACAATGTGACTACTAGTGTAGTTTACACGATATTGCGTGTACTATGTTGAGCTAAGATGATGAAGCTGGGTGATATGGGGTCTAATCAGTCAAGGAGCATCAGTTCCTTCAACATTACAGGTACACCATGCTGACGAGTGCCAAGTAGCACGAAACCTAGGTCCAGAATTTCTTGTTGACTACCTCCAACCACCATCTAATTTTAACTACTATTATTTATAATTCACTCATATATTAGAGCTTCAAAGCTTAATGTTTAAATAGATGTCCATGGTTTTTCAGATACTTTGCATTACCAACATGTTTCAGATGTTTATCACAATATGTTAAAATGAGTTAGTGACTGACCACTTCGATTGCCTACCGTCATATTAAGTTATAAGCTGAATATGATAACAGTTAGTACATAATTAAGTAAAAAATAAATTACTTTAAATTTCAATGAAAGAAAGTTGGTGACGATCTATCAATGTATTCTACATTTTTTCTAGTGTCTTTATTTCTAAGAAAAAATATGAAACATACTAAAAAAAGTTATTAGTGGAAAGAAGACTTTCATTTAATAGATCTTCAGTTAGTATTATTTATTCTTTGTTATAATACAATTCAGTAACAGTAGGTTATCAGTGATTTTCTTTATATGCAAATCGTATTTTCATTAGATGGGTGTTTTAATGTCTTCTCATAATAGAACCGGATTTAAGTATTATAACAAATCTAACTTCATGTTAAATGAACTTATGATGGTAGAGAATTTATTTAACAACTATTGTGTTCAAGCAAAAACAAGGATATGTCTGGATCAAATGTAAACGTGCTTTTGTAAATTCTTGAAAACAATGTATCCTTCTAGTTTTTTTATTTACACTTACCAATTTACATAAGATTAGGTTTACATCTTAATATGAGAATACTAGTTGCCTGTACTTATCATGATGACTTAGTTCATCACGTTTGTAGTTCTTAGGCTTATCATGCCCGCTCATATCATTAGTCAAGAATAGCTCCAGATTAACAGTGGAATTAACAATAAGTGTTTCCATCTATTTTACACTCATCAGATGAGTGTGAATCGTTATCCATGCACCACACCACTTTAGTTTATATAAACCTGATATTAACTTCCTTTAAATGGGTTAAGGTCTATTACCTATTCACTGTAATTTGATATTCATATACTGAATTTGATTAAAGTCAGTATAAACTTGACTAAATGAAATAAATTTACATTATTTTTCACAAACTCTTATTCGTGTATCATTTCAACTGATCAATAAAAATCTGCTCTTACAGTACAAGATTTGCCTATTTTACTTTAGTAACTGAAAGGCTTGCATTCCAACATTCACAATATGTCACACTCTCTATGAAGACATTAGAATTGCAAACTAAGTAGATTTTCACAAGGATCTTAACAAATTACTAGTTATCATTCAGTGATATGAGATTTTAATTGATAACAAAATTAACCAATCAACTTGAAAATTTGATTTACTAAGAATGATTGGTAATATGAATTTAATTAATTAAAAATGGATCATGAACTATAACAAATCAATAAACAACAGATCTATGATTGTTTCATCTCATAATACTGAACAATCAATTGCATCCACATAGTAATTATCTCTTAAATCAAACTTAAACAATTTACTCACTTGAAAAACAACACTAAAATATGCTAAACTTAGTAATAAGCAAATAAAAGCATATCTGTATAAATCTGGTGGAGTTAATGTTGGTCGACAAAGTGTTGCATCTATGTTTAATGCAATATTTTTCAATGGATTCATTAAACTAATTAATGATTGTACAATATTTGCAAATGTTGAATCACCATCAATATATAATTCATTTGTTTGTTCATCGTCTTCTCCAGTAATATTTTCAAAATCAGAATAATCATATAAAAACAGAACTGACATAATATTAAAAATTGTATACATTACATAATCAGTTATCATAACTAGAATAATTGAAGTACTCCATGTTAAAAGCATTAAAGAACTGAAAACTGCAGATTGTTTTTCTGATACAGTCCAGCTAAAACTTGATAGCTTCTTGTAAAATTTCTTTTCTTTACGGATTAATGGAACTGTGGGAACTAAACCTCGTTTGAAGGCTTGTATTTCCTCAAACATAAAAATTAATAAACGAAAAAAGGATTAATTATGATGTCTGTGAATATATGAAATTTTAAGAACAACTTTCAGTGAGACAATGAATAAAATAACTAATATTGATCTTCAAAACTTAGAATGTGTATCCTCACACAAATCAGTCAGTTAATACTAACCAGTCCATAACCTCAATCTTTAATCGATAATAAAGTATTTTAGTAAAAAATGTTCTACATAGGTAATAAATAAAAAAAATGATGTGGAGTCTTTGTTAACTGTGTGTAATGTATAGTATAATGTACCAATTTTCAAAGTATATCAAATAATATTTACATTCCAAATTAATATTCAAGGTTTCAAAGATTTACTTTTTCAGTAAAATTATTAATTGATAGTATCGCTACTGTTTTTCGGTTAGTTTGTAAACAAGGTTGGATCTATACAGCACAGGATCATTACATGTCATTTACTTCTGAACATCAGAGACTTATTTTTGTCACTACTATTATAGTCCTTATATGCATTACGAAAAAAAGTTGGCAAATTAGTAATTACGTGATGGTATCTAATTATTTCACCAAGAACATATTCTAGTACAACTTTGCTATTGTTATTCAAGTTAACAAATCTTCAAATAATGCGATCGATATGAATTACTACCAAATTATCTTTACTAACGTGTATATTTCTTATATCCAGATAATACTGTGTAAGCATGATCAATCTAATATGTGTGGATATTCTACATTTACTTGAAATACAACCAGGATCAAAAGAAAATGATCAATGTTTTCACTAAAGCTTTTCGGTGTCAATTGTTCATCATATTATCAATTTTGAAGTATCAGGTCGTTGAATTTGTATTTAGAAACATTGTTAGATTTATCATGATCACATAATTTTAAAAAACCTTGTCATTTCATGAAATTTGTAAAGTTAATCTACGGTTCTTTATAAATTTTCATATCTTAACTTTACATTGTGTCAAAAACATTCATTTTCATCAGCTTTATTTTCAGCTGCTTCATTCCTATAAAATAATACATACATATATCTTTTCAAATAAAGAAATCTAAATGAAAAATATGCTGGAAAACTTTTATATCCTAGTGAAAATTAAAGTACGAATAACTTCTGAGACCTATTAATGGACTAATATTATCTATATATTCTTATTGTATAACTATTTAGTAGCTAGATTGTATATATCTATATTCCCCTTATTATAAGTTTCACTTTGACCTATAAATCATTATTATACAATTTGCTGCTCTTAAATTATACTCATTTATTTGATTACCGTCTCCCACGTTCACAGCCACTTCTTGGCTTTATTGTGTATGAATGTTATTCCCTATTTTATGGTGCGTTGCGGTCTGTTTGTTTAGTATATAAACCTAGTATGTTTGAAATAAATTATTCACATAGTAAAGGATTTTGTTAGCATTCTGGACTCAGCTGGACGGGCTAGGCGAGCAACGGACCAATAGGACGCTAGGCTGATCAGACCGATCAGACGTCATTGGTTTAGTACAGTATAAGAACGAATAATTGGTGAATAGATTACGTAATAACTAGCGGGCCATAAAGACACAACAAAAACTATATAAGTACATGATGATAAATTGGTGTAACTAATAATTTGCATAATATATAGTGATGTATTTGTAAGATACTTATTATTCAGTTATATTTACAACTCACTTGTTTAATAAATTCATTGGTTATATATACATTATCATATGAATCCTTTGACAGCCAACACTTTTTAAATATAATTGCTTGTATAACTAATATCAACATGGTGAATAATGTCCATGCTACTAAAATCCAAGATAAGATCAATTTCACAACATCAATAGCTTGTACAAAATTATCCATTCTTTGTTGAAGTTTATTTGATATATAATGATCATTATTGAAAATAACTTTTATTTGACTTAAATTTCCAAAAAGTGTTAAATTTTTACTTCCAATCAAATCGATTATTTCATTAAGTTGTTTAGTTAATTCTATTTTTGTCGTAATATTAAGTGTATCTTCAAGTACTCTACCTTGTTTTTGACATAAATCTGTAAATGTTTCTGATGAAACACAAGTATCTTTAGCAAAAAATCTGACAAAACGACATAGACTACTTAAAATCTTAAAACTATTAATACAACTGAAGTAAATATTATTAAAAAATGCTAAACATTGATTAATTAAAGCAACTTTATCTTCACATGATATAATTAATGAATGTATCCAACTGGCTTGACTTTCCATGACATTAGTTAGTTGTATAATGGAAAAATTAATTTTAAATAATAAGTTTCTTAAGGTGTTAAGGATATTGTTAATACTATCAATAATATTTTCTAATTGATCTTTTAGTACAATGAATGGTGTTTGAGTTAATCTCTTCAATAACATCATATTTGTATTCACTTGTGCTATGATACAAACAATGGAATTACGAAAATTACCTGAATTATGTAGAAAATTTAAACCAGGTCCACTGAATGACATACCAGTTGCATAGATTAAAATTGCCCAACGTAAACGTGTAGCAATTATATATGGAAATGTTAATAATGTGATACATTGAAAATTTTCAGAGAACGCTAAACCAAATACACTTACTAACATGATGTAAGCGCTTAATAATGTAGATAAATATGGGTTCCCTGAAAATGTGATCATAAATAAGAAATATGTTATGAACCCTAGGCTTAACCCAAAAATCAAACCTAAAGTATTTTTTACACATATCCTTTGTATGTTCTGAAATGGTCTCCATTTCTGTTTGTGGTATAATGTAATTCGAATACGATATCTACGACAAAACTTCCAACATAACTGACATAGATAATACAGTGGGATTAGTAGGTATGGTGGTCTTTGCAATTCATATAAAGCTGCTTTTATTTGTTGTTCATCTAGTTCTATTGACTCAGAATGTTTATTTTTGAGGGAATAATCGTGTTTATCTTTTCCACTCCCTTCATATCCCTTTTCATGAGTTCGATTTTTACAAGTATTTGATCGATTTTGAGATGCATCGTTCATTCGTCTTGCTCCACACCAGGTTTCTTCTTCTGTAGGTTGTGCTCTTACCTCCTCATTGTTAACTATTTCAGAGCTTACTTCTTTTTGATTCATTGTAGTTACTACTTTCAACTTTTCAGCATATTTTACCTCCTCTTTACAAGTAAATCGGTTGGCATTCTCATCTGTCTTTCTATTTGAAACTGCATTATTCGAATTCATACTCAGTAGTATATACTGACTAATTAAAGGATTTCTTGCTTTGTTTCACCATTCACGATACCAAGTTGAATCATCTACATTACGTTTGGGAGATGTCTTACTGTCTAACTTATTTTCAGCTGATATAATGTCACAATCAATTGAATCTAATTGGTGTTCACAAAGCTTATCGTTGATTTTCTTCAATGAAAACATGTTAAGTTGGCGGGTCAAATTGCTGAAGAACTATAAGTATGCATCAAAATATTTTATCATAAATTTCTGCATAACAGAGCTATTTAAAATCAGAAAATCAATAATCAGATGTTAATGGAATTTAATTAAACGTCTGAAGTAAACCAGTAAACTGATGAAGTGAATTACCAGTCACATTAAAAAGTAGTTCTAACAAGCAAAAGAGAACAGACTTCTATGATATAATTTAGAATGGTATAGAATATATACATATTTTGGACGAAGCGTTTCCTGAACATAGTGTGATTTGTGCTACTGATGTCGACAGAAATAAGTAGTATGCATCATCAATCGAAAGTGAAATGTCTGGCGAGAGAAAATTAAGAAGATCAAAGAAAAAAGAACGAGAACAAAGAAGGATTGCTATGGAAACAAAAGAACAATGAAGTCTGAGACGATTGACTGACATTTGCAAAAGGAACAATCGAGTTTGAAACAACTGATTGACATTTTATAAATGAAGTATTTACTGTATGGTTCTCAGATTTTAGTGAGATGTTCTGTAATTTTGTGTTCAAATGCATTCGATCGTCCACATTTGTAGTCTCACTCACTACATTAGCAAAAGTAGTGAAAGGAAATTTTCAATTGTTAGTTCTCGAAGTTACTTTAACTGTAAAAGAGATTGAATTTAGGCGGCAAAATCCCAAAAATTTTTATAGATTTTAAAATAGTCATTTGCACACATTTAGAACTTGAATAGACTAAAAACACAGGTTCATTAGTTTAATAGATTCAATGTTCCGATTAAATCGAGAAGTCTGACTTGCTGAGAAAAGTTAATCAAACATAACTTTAAGTGAACAGCTACAATTGGAATCACTATAAGATGAAAGAAATGACAACTTGTACGTAAATATCTGGGTTAGCACAAATTATTACTAGTGTTACGGTTATTTAGATTTATGATAGGCTACATCAGATTAATGTGGTATCATTCTGTGGATTATTTATGGGTATTCAGATGTGGCTGGAATGAGAATTTTTCATAGACTAGACTATTGATAATCATATCTAATACAAATGTGTTCTTTAATAGTATAAATACACACTAGATAGTGATACTAAGAGTTCCATTGTATTTTTTGATGAAATAATTTAATTTGTTCCTGTTGATATTGTGTTTTTTTTAACTTACCAGGTCATTTTAAGTATTTATTGGTAGCTAGCAAGAAGTCTTGATCTAGGAATTCCTGCTAATTCTCGCCCGTTGTCTAACATTCCCATACTCAAACGGAGAGAGACTTTTATGAAGCTTAACCTCATTCAAAATGGAACGTTTAGGAAAAATATGAAGTTAATTTACAATATTAGACATTATGAACATGCTCTCCTTTTTTCGTGATCAAACAATTTTATATTTCTAAAAAGAAAGGAGGTTTCAATCAATATAACTATGACATGGACATATTAAGCCCTAACAACAATAGTAGCACTACATTATGAAACTGTAATTTGTGTGAAATCTTAGACAACATGTGCACTTTAAGATTTTATTTGAGAATTAGTGTAATTTTACCTAATAGCTGTATGACTTAGAAACTCGTAAATTATATATATTTATTTATTTATTGAGTAAAACAAAAACTTAGAGCAGCGTTTTAAAGCTGCCGTATACAACATGTGAGAAAGTTTATTTATGAGGTTGCATACTTGATAGCTTGTTACTTGTATAGCTACTTCTGTAGTTAGAGTTCCTTCATTTGTTCTAAAACTGACATTGAGTTACAAGAAATATTAATATCCGCTACATCTAAATGCAAGCGATATGTAAAGTATAAGGAGAGGGCATTATAACAGATATCCTTGTTTTCAAGTGATGAAACTTGTCATTCTTCTATGCGCAATGTGTCTACAACAATTTTAAGCAATAGACAAATGACCAATTGTGTCTCTTTGCCAAAATTCTTTCTCTTACTGATTTGATTATTATCCAATAGCTGTGTAATTAATTTTATATTCTTTCTGTCTAAATAAACTACCACAATTAATCAAAGTCAATGTATATTTTAGTCTGACTTAACAATCGTCACTAAAGCACTTGTAACAAATTTTCACAAATTGATTTAAACTACTTATATTTGTACCTAGTAGTAAAATAAATATGTAGACAATTAAGTCAATTTTGTTAATGAATGAATTTATTTCAAACTGATAATAATGAAAATAACGAATTAATAATAGTAATAATAATAATAATAGTAATAAAATTCACTAGCCATTCTGTTCTCTTTTTTCCAACTTTATTAATATTCATATTAATAATAATAATAATAACAACAACTTTGATGGTTACTAATATTAATAATAAGTACCCTGTTCTCCGTTTGAAATAAGTTAATTGTGACAGAAAGAAAAAAAAGACAAACAAACAAAAAAACAAATAAAGAGATAAAAACTAAAAACTGTCTCAAACAAAAATCCTTAAACCAAACAAACAACTAATGAAATTTCATTCTTATTTTCTCAATGTATCATTCAATTCAATTATAATCATTATTGTATTATACAATATGTCACTAAATGTTTCATTCTTCGTTATGACATAATTCCTCATTAAATTGTTTCATTTCATTACATTTTACTGTTTTCATAGTCATTTGTCATCGAATACGCCATATATATATATATATTCATGGAAACACTTTAGGTAATAATGATATTATAATTTTAAAAATTTTTACATAATTTCTGGCAGTTATCAAATCGTTTTAGTTTGTGTTTATACTCTGTAATTGATACTAATGATCATACAATCTAACTGAAAACAAACATAATTATCTATCAACAACCAATTCGTGTTTAGGTTTGTATTGTTTTTGTTTTTATTCTTAAAAGAAACATTTGACTTGTTCATAAAATACAATGAAAGAATAATAATAATAATAATAATAATAATGAAAGAGACGTTTTCATTTGAAAGAAAAAGAGCAGTAAGTAGTGTTCATAGTAACTGTTGTTATTCAGTCAATTATCATGTTTAAGAAAAGTTACATATTTGTTCATATTTATATATATAATGATTTCTGCCTCATGAAATATCCAAGTTTTACTTATGTACAAACACAAAGAGGGAAGGGAAGTAAAGAAAGAGAAAATAAAATAAAAACTTTAGGAGTAAAACATGAACAGTAAATGAATTCTGACTTTTTATGAATTATGATATTGAAATGTAGAAGTAGATTTCGTCATTAAACCTGTTGATGGTGATTTAAAAAATGATAAACTGCTTTTATTGATATCGTTACTATTATTATTATCACAACCGTCATCATCATTTTCTGTGCATGTATCACCGATATTACCAGTTGGGATTGCAGTGTCATATTGTGAATGGTGATGATGATGTTGATTATACTGGACTGGATAAATTGATTTAGAATTCAATGACTCTTGTATGCCTAACTCTGTATGTGTATAATTCAGATTATTCATATCACTGGGAAGATTATAAATTAATTGATGATTAGCACTATGTAAAATCGATGACTGATCAGTATTTGTTTCTTCATTACGATTTAATAGAGTAGAACCTCGTAAACAATGCATAAACTGTTCATTTTCTGATTCCAAATGCCGATGAGAATGTCGATGATGTTGAATATCTTCGTCTGATGAACCAGACAATGAATCAATATTTCCATTATCTATTTGTAATACAGAAGAATTAAATCTTTTTAATTTATTTGTCCAACTTGAAGGAAATGTAGTATACTGATTTATAGTATTTAAATTATTTGTAAATTGATTAGTTGATATAGGGGTAATATTTGACCATTGATCAGTTAGATAACATGATAATTCTGTTTTCTGTTGTATAGATGACGATAAATTATCATGTTGTTGTTGATGATGTAATGGAATTGTTGAAAATGATGTAACAGGAGTATCATTTACATCTGATGTAGAAAAATCCACTGAACGATTAAATCCGGAATTTGGTCTTCCAGTTGGATTATTAATAATATTAGGATATGAATGAGATGTATAATTTAACTGATTCAGACTATCATTATTATTATTTTTGTTAGTATGACTGTACCTCAAATTGTTCGAATGTACATCAAATGATAATAAATTATTTGAGTTGTTTATATTATTAGATAAATAATTCGAATAATTTTGTGCATGTGATAATAGCATTGATGAATAGTTCTGAGGATAATTTGATGATGAATTTGTCATCATCATCATCATAGGAATTGTTGAATCATTTTGTGATTGTATTCCATAAGAATCATCATTATTTAATGTGTTTAAATGATCTCGATCATTATTCAAAGTATTGTTAGTATTATCATTATTACCATTATTATTATTATTATTATTATTATTATTATTATTATTATTATTATTATTGATTAAATCCGACTCTAATAATCTATTGGCTAATAAATTCATTTTACCATTATTATTAGATTCTATTGGTAAATTTTGTAGAACAGGACTAAATTCTTGAAAATTACGTTCAGATTTTGTATGAATTAAATCATTATTATTATTATTTATTTCATTTCTGAATAAATTATTATCTACTGACGTTTTATTATTGATCGATTTATTCATTACATAATTCTTATCTATTCTCTCATTTCTATTATTATTTTGCTTTTGTTGAACACTATCTATACATTGATCAATATCTTTTGAGGTAGAACATGTTGATGATGATGATGATGACGATGATGATATTGATGATAATAATAATGGAGTCAAACGTTTAATAGTTTCATCAGATTGTTTTATCGATAAATTTTCATGTATTGAATCATATTTACCTGACATTGTTTGTGTTAAATCTAAAAATGAGGAAATGAAATAATCCACACAAAAAAATTTTTATAAAGATGAAGTTATTCATGAGAGAATATATCTACATTGAAATTTATTAATGGGGTTTTGTAGCTTAAGTTGATGTCTTTGGGAGTGTTATGTTAATAATGTTATCTAGAATAAAAACAAAAAACTTTGAAATTAAACCATCCACTATCTAATAAACATTTATGAATATGAACAGTGTTGTCAATAACTTAACTGCTGGTCTCATATTTTACCAACTGATGATAATGTGTCACAACTAGTCATGAAAATAGACGACATAGATGGAAGAAAACTTATGTTAAACTAGACAAACAGATTTATGTAATAACTGTAATGACATAGCACGACATTTGGATATAAATACTTTGATAATGGATATCAATGTAAATAATTCACGTCACAGGATGAAACACGTGTTCTGGGTTCCATTGATAACTACCATCCATCTCTGTTTATAATACTTGTGACCTAAGACAATATCGAAGCGATCCGCACAGGATGCACATATTCCAAATGAAACTGATTAATTACAGACCTTAATACTAATGAGAAGATTCAAACAACCAATATAAATGAATTCATAGTATTGTTTTGAATTGTGTCTTTTTCAGTAGAGTTTGGTTAGTCATTATCACATCATCAGCTAAATGTCATATCATCAGATCCAAATGAGAATATTACTCCAACACTTACAGTGTATGTCATCTAAAATTTACAAAATCACTTATTTTATTAAAAGAATTATTTTACTACTTTCAGATTAAGTGTCTTTCATCAGCTTCAACAATTTACAGTATTCATTTTGGTTCACAGAGAAATATAACATATCTACCTTTAATTTTTGATTGTTCAGTGTAATCTACAGTGACATAAAGTAGTGGTGATGGAAATTTATGTTTCAGCTGAAATGCATCATTGTGTAATGGATTCTTAACTTTAGACATTTTTTCAGTTCTAATGTGCGTATTTTTTACATTGACAATAATGAGCCATCAACTTTTATTGTTTATTATTCCTCGTTACACAAACATGTATATTCCGTATATGCTGACCAATTCACTGATTCGTATTTTCTTCTGTTCCTTCCTCATTTTCACACTTTTATGGTAGGTAAATGAGATTCTGTGGCTTGGATTATCCATATCTTTCTTTGCGTCTCCTTGAAAACAACTAAACATCTATACCAATAATATACTAACAGCCGGGTATTTCAACTTAATTGTTGAGATTTTTTCTTTTAGTTGATCCTTTTTATTCGCTTTTAAACAAAAATCTCATCATATTCTTATTGGTTTTTACGGAGGATATGAATCTTTGAATAATAATAGTTCTATATTTCTAATTACGCACTAGCCATTGATACGATTTATTTATTACCTGATAGAGCAGAAAAGTCGATCACATTTCGAAAATAACGAAGTTTTTTGTTCATAAAGTAACTAGTTTGTTCTTGATCGAGGTTTTTCCAAGAAAACTTGATCAATATATAAAGTGTACATAAATGTTTACATTCCTTGTTTTCAGTTAATTACTATTGTTATCTCTTGTTTATGAACAGTTAAAAGTAATATATGGAATAAATTGATTCACCTTATTGTACTATAATGTTTGTTACAGATTTGTTTGTGTTTATAAAAGATAAAAATTGTAGAAAGTAAAATTACTCCTGATGAGTATTCTATGACATGAACTATGCAGAAACAAAAACTCTATTTAAGTGAAAATAAAATTTATGAAAAGTTGAATAAATAAAAATGGAATAGCAATATTGACTTATTTTATGAAGACTGATTGATTATTCGTACAATATTATTAAATAGCTAGTGATTTACCTGTGCTCACTGTAGGAGTGGAGCTGAATGGATTCAAACAATGGCTTGGATTTGATGTAAATGAAGGGTTATTATTTGATAAACTTGATGAATTAGTTCCGTTTTGAAGGACTTTATTGTTGCACATTTCCCTAATATTGTCATTTATATTTGACCGAACTTTTGTCGACGATACACCAGATTGAAAATTGAAATAAAATTTCTGTGAATTCAGTAAATCCATTCGTGTATCTAGATTCCACAAATCAGATGAAAGCTTGCAATCAAAATTTTGATTATGTCCAGGACTTTGAGGTAGTGTGACAGATGATGAGTCATACGTTTGTGGAGTGTAAGCACATTCGCCTTGTTGTTTCGGCGTTGAACTTATTGACGTGTCACTGATTACTTCGTCTAAAGAATTAGGTCTTCCATCTGATATACGATAATCAGTTCGTGTTGTATTTGGGTTTGTATTGACGCTGTGACTACTATTTGTAATATTAATGCCTGAATTGACTGCAGCGGTAAAATTACTGCTACCAGAAGACACTAAACCAGCTGCTGCAGGATGTATGGCGGCTGCAGCAACCAAACTTGCTGGCCAAAATCGATTGTTTGAAGGTCTAAAACATTAAAACGCAAAAGAAATATAGTTGTAGTGGACCACTTTTGAATTATAATTCGGTTTTTGCTCGAAACAGAGTGTTTACTGAGATAACATCGGCCTGATAAATTTGTTTATTTGATGGTCGTAATAAAAACCAAAATAGACTACTGATATTTTGTATATAAATTCACTTCAAGACCATAAAATGTGAAATTAAGTCTTAAATATTTGTTTCGTGGGGTTAAGAATATACCTTTACTGCACTATGAGCATCATATTCCATTAATGTTTCGCGTTTTTGTTTTCGAGCATTAACAGACTTCCTAATGTTACATCATGTTTGTAAATAAAATTGAGTCAAAGAAAACGAAGTAAATACCTAATAACATGCAACAAGATTTATACTGATAGTGAATAACTCGTCCTGCGCATTAACTACTAACAACCTGTAGCAAATGACACAAAGAGCCACTTTGAACAAGAAATAGCTGTTTGTAAATTTTAAAATCCCTCTTTAAAACTTACCACTCACACTCATTTGTAAATCTTCACAAGATTCAACTAGGTGCTGAGGAATTCTGTCATATCTGTTTTTGGATCGATAGTTAAAGCTATTCAGTATTTGATTCTTAGAAAAAGCTAAGTGTGATGGTTAACAAACGGCACGACTAGGATGACATTATTTTTATCTGTCAAATGAACTACTCATTAGTAGTTTATATTTTATGAAAACTATTTGCAAAGTCAACCAATCTTTCAGGTCATTAAGTTATCAGTCCGTTACTTTTCTGATATCCATTCCCAAAAACTATGGGTCAATGATTAAAAAAAGGCCTGTACTAGCATTAAAGTGTGACTCATGTATATTGTGCTGTTCAATTCCTTTCCTAACGTTTTTCTCAACTTTCCAACATCCTGAACAATGTATACTAATGTCAATATTCTTAAACATATTTCATTCCCGGAAGTTAAAAATTCAGACAAATGATTTCTAGTTTTATTTAAAACTTGTTATGTATTTGTATGCGCATAGGCAATCGATTATATATATGCATATATCTACTTCACTTTCTGGTTTGAATTTTCTGATACTGTTTGGACTTTCAATGAATATATTCATTCTCCTCTAGTTTTAATTGACTAACTAAGCGTAAATCAATAAGATTACAAGGTCATATGGAAGTAAACGTTGATTATTTATCTGTCTATTTAGTTACTTAGCTATCTGATTTTATTGCTACTTTCATAATGTTCATATTAGTCATAACAATTTATGATTGTTATCGTTATTACTATTATCATCATTATTATTATTACTATTATTATTGTTATTATTATTATTATCATTATTATTGTCATATACATTATGTTGATGATGAATAATTATATGTCAAAAAGTAATGCACTATTATTCTTATAATATTCATCAGTTTGTGCACCTCTATGTGATAAATTATGAATAATAAGTAGCATTAGTTACACGACTATGTTTGTGTACTTTCCAGAATAATAGATGACAAAAATACCACATTTTCATGTAGACCATTATTACTACTATACGAATTGTTTGTTATATTTTCATGTGAATATATAGATTTTCCAAGAAATAACTATTAGATAATGATTTGGTCTACATTTATCAAACATTTTCGGACAACCATTTCATTAGGGGAGAAACGGTTGACAACTTGGTTCACTCATGCAGAGACTATTTCATAGACAATAGGCACGTAAGTGAAACGTTTGAAAATATGCTCTCGTAAAATAAGGAACACCCTATTCCTCATATTAAACAGATAAACGAACGGGACAGTATATTAAAGTAAACGGAGTGTTGTCTACAAACTGCAGTGCATAAATTATGAGAAACATTGTGTTAGATATATTGGATACTTATCAAGACTTCATCTCTGCTGATTTAGACACACGTAGTCAACAAGGTTGCAGAAACTATTCAAATCAAACAAAGCAAAAATACAGAAACAACCCTTTTGAATTGCAAATTATTTTACCGTGTCTAGTTCAATTAAAATTTTATTGCAGATCTTGATTTACTGTGTTCAGTAATCTCTCTTTTTGGTCAACCTTGCAATTTCATATTTTGTCCGGAGAGTATTATCTCACCTTACCTACAAATCAATAAATCCATGGACCGCTACTGTGACTGAGTACTCTGTCAGCTTGATTAATGAAAGGAATTAAAATGAAGAAAACTACCAACTATATATCGTTAACATCACTGAAAGATATTAATCAGCTTACCTGCTTGTTGCAGCTTTTTTCTTCTTACTAATAACATGTGATTCATTACAACCCATGGAATTGGACAGTCTATCTGATGATCCATCTACATTATTACAATTGTTTCCATGTGGTACAAAATTCGAAGAATCTAGCATTGGTTGCAGAATACGTCGTCTTGCATTAATAAACCAATTATTTACTTGCAATAACGTTAAATTTGTTTGGCCTGCTATATGTCTTTTCTCATCTTCTGTTGGATAAGGGTGCTACAAATAAAGGGCGATAAATACATTAAGAAACCTTAATGTCAAACTCACTTGGAACATTTTTACTCATCATTATATATGTTTTATTACTTTTTCTTTGAATTGGAGTTATATTTGTTTGTCAAAGCCATTGCTAAGGTTATTTACATTTATTTCTTATACCCTGTAACTACCAACTAATGGACAGCGAATGGTTGAACAGCTTAATAGCCAAGTTTTATACTACTAATACTCTATTAATCCACTGTACTAAGTATAACAATCCTAGCATAATTGTGTAAAAACAATACCATAATCAGTTGATACAGAAGTTATCTTAATGATGTAGGAAAGTATAAGATAACAAAAGAAGAAAAAAGTTTTGTCTAATTTGTACACATTTATTCAACTGTACACATACACATATATATGTGTACAAATACGTACATATAGAATGGCGTACACCTGTTGATTATCTCAGGCTTAACACCTAATTGTAGAACTGAATATGGGAAGAAAAGAATAATAGAAACTGTTTTTATAAAATCAGCAGGACAAAGGGGAAAAAAATATTCCAGCTGTTCCTTTCTCTACTATTTATTTGCCAACAATGACCTTATTGTGTGGATTATACATGGTGTCTTTTTGTATTCCACATCATTAAAACCATATTGTAAAAGTGGTGAAATTTTGTTTAAAAAAATTCCTGTCAACATTTTAATAACTGAATGTAATTTTGACCAGAAGAAAATTATGATTGTGTGGTTATTGGGATTGTCAAGTTTTTGATTAAGATCATGAATCCACTGCTTCCAAGTTTTCAATGTTGGCTTAACATTGATCGGTTCATGATCTCAATCAAAAGAAAATTTGTTGGCAATCAACAAAGATCAATAATTACTGATCAGTGATCACTGTCTATTTATTTTTGTCTCAGTAGTATTACACGTCTATTATGAAATCAACCCTTTCAAATTGTATAAAGATCACTATAAATAATTGACAAGATATTGATAAATTTGAGTCAAAACAAGTTTTGTACAATTGATCACCACATAGTAATCACTCAATTGTGAATACATCTCAGTCCTACAAGAAATTAGTTACAGTCCGGATAACCTATTGGTGACATCTCTTACTGTAAAGCTGGATAACACGGAATCGAATCCGTTAGAGAGCATCAGTTCCATGAAGATTACAGATACACTTTGCTGACGAGTGCCAAATAGCACGAGATCCTGGTCTCAGGGTTTTCTATTTACCACCTGCAACCACCAACTTATCTGAACATTTAACTTGTTGTATATTATTTCTTAGAATTAATAATCATATTTCAAATAATATTTATGAATTCAGTCGAGAATTCATTAGAATAAATTATATGAAAGTATTTTTTGGAGATTTTAGTAATTTCAATAGTTTAGATCACGAGACAATTGAAGCTAGACCACAATAGGATGAAACGACCGTTCAGTGCTTCCAGGTTTTCCATGGTGATCTAAAATCAATTGACTCATGATCTCAACTATTGAAATTAGTAAATTATCTTTTAATGTAACTTGATGACTTTTAATATCCAAAATAATGAATAAAAAATAACTTAATTACATTTATTATATATGAAAATTATATTTGAAATGATTTCAACGATTAAAATTTAAATAATTCCAGTGTTTCATCCAGCTAACTTGTCTAGATTTTAATTAATACCCTGAAGAATTCCAGACAAGTTAGCTGGACGAAACGTTGGAATTTCAATCGCTGAGATTATTTCAAATATAATTTTCACATGTAATGACTTCTCTATACTCGGCGCCTAATTTCTATCAAACTATTCGTTTTACTCTTGACGAATATTCGTATAAATTAATTTCATTTAGTTTTAATTATTATAACTTTGTTTTAATAACGAAAAAAAAAGGACTTAATAATCTTAAGTGGGATTATATACAATAAGACAACATAAATTTAATATTCTTCATGAATGATACTTTCTTCTAGTAGAAATGTTTCAACACATAATAAACTTTGAATATCTTTATATATGCTTATAAGTTATTATGAATATATATGGGTATAAAGGTGTGAAACTATCTGCCTTATTGTGTAAATGAACTCATAGAACAAATAATTACAAGTAATACTGTTAATATTATTTATAAAATATTTAAACTATAGGAAATGATCATTTTTAAGTGGACAACAAAAGAGAAGAATTATGTGAATGATTAAAATTTAATTAAAAAAAGTTTTTAAAAAAATTTTAACTTTAAGATTTATAATCACATCAATAAAGGGGTGTGTACATATATATAAGTTAATCTATCATCCAGCGTTATAACAGTTACTTATTGTGACATAATGTTCGATTGAAAATCTGTTTTCATTAATTCTATTATGTATTCAATATTAAACAGTTTATTATATGAATTGATCTATTAAGTATGGTTATTGGTGATAAGAGTTAAAAGACGAAATAACAACTGAATATTAATGATATTTTTTTCAAATGGATAGCTTTGATATATTGAAACCTTTCATTTGGATAGTCCCTTAGTTATTCTGTATATCTAGGAGAATATAGATTACAAAAGTATTATATATTTTGTGGTGTATCTGAATGATTAGATACTTCAAACATAACTGAGTAAAATATACTTTTTTCTCAAAAAAAAATTAAAACCTATATGACTTATCAATTACTTGCAATCAATGAATGTAAATATTCATTATGAAAATTTAAAAAAACAACGTTACAATCATTTTTTCAACCAGAGTTGAACATTTAATGTATTGGCTAGTGATTACTTTCTAGAGGTTATTCTTACAGTTCCAGTAAGAAGTCATGATAGATGGAATTCCTTCAATATCGGGTATGAAGTAATTACTCATTTATAACACTTAAAAGGGAACCTAGGACATGAGATTGAACACACAACTATCAAGTCTCAAACAATGAAACCAGTAGTTAACAGTTTTATCTTAAATTTTAGTAAAAAATAAATGGAATAACCTTCATTTAATCAATCAAGTCAGAGATCAAGCCAAACAAAAAAGTTGAAATAATAAAATGCTTTATCAAATGAACGACAAGCATACATTTTGTTCATTTACATTCTAAATACATTCACCATAAGGGAAAAATTCAGTTTCTATTTAAGAAATATATTCAGTTACAACACTAAAGAACTAGAATATGGATATAATCATGATGCATTTTATGTGTGTAGCATGGCAACATGCCATCTATCCTTGACCGAGAACAATAATAATAACTATTATTATTATTATTATCAATAATGAATTTAGATTAGACAAATAAGACTTAATTGAGAATAGAATTTATTTTAAAATTAAAAAAACATCATCCATGAAAATAATACACAACTGATAATTATTTGTTTCATTCAGAATACAATGTGATTTTAATGAATAAATAACTAAATGAATTTAGTAGTTACTAGAATAGTGAATTGTTTATTAATCTACATGCATTGTTTAAAAATTATTTTCCTATATATATATTCTCTCTCTCCCTCTCTCCCTCCTCTCCCTCCCCCCTCTTCCTCTCTCTTTCTCGATAAGTATTGCTAATGCGTGTTTATGTTGATTCATTATATGTATGTGTATATGTATATATGTGTGTATGTGTTTGTTTGTGTATTTACGAATGTGCGGTTTTCTAATAAATAGATAAATAACAAAGAGATGAATAAATAAATAAATAAACAGAATAGTCAATGGTCATAAGAAGAGTTAAATGTAAAATGAAAAGAAATTCATGATAGACAGGTGTGGAATATTAGTAAATAAATAAATAAATAAATAATAAACATGAATAACAATTAATTATATTTAATTGAAAGCCTATGTTGAAATATTTGCTATTTGCCTCTGTCTTCTTATCTATATTACCAAATGCTTATGATTTCTACAGTATTAACAATTAAGTATCATAGTAACTCATATAACTTATGAAGTAAAGCTGGTTTATACATATCATTAAAGTCAGAAGGGGTATAATAACGAGATATTTCTAGTAAAATGTTCAAATACATTTTATTTATTATGTGAATTAAATAGTTGAAGATACATGAAACATTCCAGGATCCCTATAATACTTATGAATGATTATCATAAATCGATTAAATTTACTTTCTGTCAAAAATGATTTTTGAAATTTACTAATTTACTTGTGAACATAAACATCACTTTGGTATTTTTAAGCAAAGATAGATAGTGGTTAGCAATGGAATCCAGGACGCGAGTTTCGTCCTATTTGGGACTGGTCAGCTGATCAAATGCAGTCCTAAATAACAATGAGAAGATACAAGTAAAACAACATCAAGTGAATTTAAACTCCACCTCGTTGTACAAGCAAGTGGCTATCAGGATTCAGTAGCTAAGTGGATCATGCGTTGGCAATTGAAAGGAAAGGTACTGGGTTCGAGTCCCGGAGTGAACATCAACTCTGAGATGCAGGTACATTCAACTGACGAGTCCCAAATAGGACAAAACGCATCTCCTGGATTCCAGTGCTGGCCAATATCCATCTTTGTTTATAAAGCTTGTGACTTAATGCAATATCGAGGCAATCCATACAGGATGCACACATGCCAACACGAGACTGATCAAATGCTGTCCTAAATAATAATGGGAAGATACAAGTAAAACAACTACAAGTGAATCATTTTGGTACCTAGTTAAACTTGATCTAAATTATCCCGAGAAGGCATGCATTAGAACAATTAAGAAATTATCATTCATATAATGGTCAATGAAAATACTAAATTAGTGAAACAAAACCGTAGTTTTGTGTTGGATTTACAACTAATGATTAAATTTCATGAACTAATAAACTTAGTTCATCAATATGCAATCTCAATGCGCATTTTATCTTAGTCAAATTTTCAAGTACAGATTTTATGATTCATAGTTGGATTCATGAGTCGATCTAAGTTGGATTGCCTTTGAAAACTAGGAAGCACTGGACGAGCGTTTCGTCCTAGTATGGAACTTTC